GAGCAGCGTTAGCATGGCAAGGCATTTGCTTCTCAGGCAATTTACAGTCACGCTTTAAAGCACCGGCTGCCTCTCTGCACTGAGAGGCACAGCAGCTGTAGCTCTGACAGCCTTTCCCAGTCGAACCAGTCGGTATTGCAGAGCCCCCCAGTGTGCTGCCCTTCCCTGCCCCAAGCAGAGAGCTCCCTCCTGCCCCATAAGTTGGGGGAGCCGTTTGATTTTTTGCTTTGAACATGGACCCATGGATTAGTGCCTCCTCAGTAGCATGGGTTGCAGCTGGGTGGGCACTGCAGAGCAGCCTTCACATTTCTGCATCTCAGCAAGCTGCTACTGTGTTTGATGGAGCTTGTCAGTTCTCCACATTCCCTTCTCTTTTGGTTCTGTTGTCCCTTCTGCAGCTCCCTGCATGTGCTGTGCATTACATTGCCCCATTGCACCTTGGTTGATTTGAGGTTTGGTTTTGTTCTTCCTCTCCCATTTTTGTTGTAAACTATCAACCATGATATCCAAGTGGGGATTTCCTGCTGCATCCTCATAAGGCAAGGCATTCTTTTGATTCCTTGTCCGCTTCGGAGCTGTTTAGATTAGGCCAATTAGCAGCTCTATTTTTTCCCCCTAGGCCCCAAAATACTCGTGTAACCGTTTCCTTACAAAAATAACTGGGTTTTTCTGCATGAACAGCATATTGTTCAGGTCTGTTTTCCTTTAGCACTTGCTAATTCTCTGAGCATTACTGCATTTCTTGTGACACTGTAGGGAAATTGCATGGGACAGTTCAACCTTTGCACGTGTGGGGAGGAATGCTGGCGGGGATGCAGCCATTCTGTGGGAGAAGGCAGGCGGGCATCAGAGCTTCAGCTGCCTGCATTCCTGAAAGCGCTTCTGTTCTGTAAAGGTTTCGGGTCATGTTCCATTCTGCATCGAAGAATCTGGTACAATCCATTCTGACTATAAAGCTCTGTTGTACAACTGCCTCTGTACATCATCTTCTCTGCTGCTCGTATGTCTGCCTGGGCTCGTGAGCTGTGTGTTCCTCCAGGACTGTTTCACAGGATGGTTCTGTTGCATTCTCAGACGTGGAGGAAATGGGCACTGAATTAAAAAATCACTGAGAAAAAGTTGAACTGAAAAACCATGAGCTTTTCCCCCAAAATGAAGGGAAGCTCCTGAGGGAGCTGCTGTTGCACACAGCGTTGGGGGAAGGCAGTGCTGTGCAGCTCCACCTCCTGTGAGTGCAGCTTGGGGGGCAGCAGAAGGCAGTGCAGGCACTGTGTTCCTCTTGGCACGAGTTTCTCTCTCACCTGGGCCAGATTTGACAGCCAGCAGGAGCAGAGCTGCTCCCTGCAGCTCGGGCTCATTGTCAGCATAGGGAGCTGAGACAACACCAAGCAAAGATGAGTCACTGTGTTCTTAAATCCTCTTTTAAAAGAGAAGCAGAGGCAGGAGCTCTCTTTACTTACATTAGAGCCCAGGGAGGGGATGTGACATGCCTTGGCTTTGGGAGCAAGGCCAGAGCCATCCCTCCTCCTGATGTTGGGAAAGTGGAAGGGAACAGGAGCAAAAAGGCACTTTTTAGACTTCCGCTTCTCCCTTTTTCAAGAAATGCTGAACTAGTTGGGTTACAGTGTGAGATGTAATCCAGTGCTGGCACTCATGAGTGAAGGGAGAAAGAAATAGGCCTTATCTGAGTTGGTCTTACCCATACCCAGCCTTTGGAATAAGCTAAATATAAGAATTGTGTGTACGTCCCTGTCACTGCAGGGAAGCTTCTGCAGGATCACACTGATGAATATAGTCCTCTGAGCATCTCTAGAGGTACCAGTGAATTTGCTTTGGGGTTTGTATTAAAAAAGAAAAAGAGAGACCTTGAGGCTGAAGAGCTTGCACTTGCAGCTCAGTGCTGGCTGGAGCTGCGTGTCTTACAGTGTCTCGGTTGGTACTGAGAGGAGGGAGAAATGCAAATCCATCACTGCCTCTGTGGCCTGCTGCTGCAGAGGGCCAGCTTCAAGCAGGGGGGCAGCTGGTATAGCTGCTGCTCTGAGGTGTGGGTGGGAGCTGCGTGCCCCGCATTTATTTTGGGGAGCATTCGTTGCCACCCTCCTCTCTGGGTGAGAAGGCACAGCAGGACAGTCAGCAGCTCCTGTAGCTGTTGGCAGTCCCTTTGTGCGATTTGATGCAGCTGTTGTGATGGGACCAAAGTGGAGTCGTACTCTGAGAGCAGGCAGATGTGTGTCAGTTTCTGCCCTGTGTGCCAGCACCACTGCAGCCAGTGCTGCCTGCAGCCCACAGCTCAGCTGCAGCCGCGTGGCCTCGAGTGTGGCTTCTCCCTGTGCTACACCCAACCCTGCAGTCCTGGGCAAAGCCAGTGTGCCTGCATGGCCCGAGTCTTAGCACAGGTGGCCAGCCCTGCTTGACAAAGCTCTCGCTGGTGTTAATCTGTTGGTGGCTGTCACAGAACTCATCCCTGCGAGAGAACCAACCTGCTTAGTGCTGCTGCTGAGCTGAAGGACTGGCTCAATACCTCACCTGTGCTTTGCTCCATCTCCTTGCCAAAATACCAGGTAGAAAAATAGCACAGGACAGACGGACTGGTCCTGGCAGTTCCCATGCCTGCAGACCAGCTCTGCTACCAGCATCCTTGCAGGAAACTGTACTCCTGCCTCTGGGCTGAGGAGCTGTCTGATAATTGCTGTCCACATTTATTCTTGGCCAATTTATGCTCATTTGTTCCTTTGCCAGCACTGCTGTTTGGGTGCTGCTGCCCCAGCCCTGCGTGGCAGTGCTATGCGTGCCATCCTTGCTGTGCTTTCAGCCGGCCTTGGCACCGCTTCTGCTTTGAGTTCATCTTTCTGAGGCTGTGCCAGTCCAGATGAGGTTGTGCCAGGGCTCGTACTTAATGCTTCCCATGTAATACATCTCCTGCAGCATCCTGGGGTGGTGCTGGCCTCATTCACAGCTGTACCTTGCTGCAGGCTCGCAGGTGGCACTTCGTCATTCCCCAAGAGTTATGAAAAGGGCCAGTTGTGAGGAGTGCAGCATTGCCGCACTTCAGGGCGCTCAGTTTCACTCTATTTCTCCTGTTCTTGTAAGGTTGTAAGATTTTCCCTTGGCTTGCCAAGGCCTGAGGTGGGAATTTGCTTCCTTCCCCCCAGCAGTGAGTGTGAAATGGTCATTGAAGCTCGGGTGCTGCCTGCAGTGGGGCACTGTTCCTCGCCAGCCCCTGCTGCTCGCCCAACCCTCTGCGCTGCCCCCGAGCTCACCAGTGCGCGGTTCTGGGGAAATCCCGCAATAGGATGGGCTTAGGGACCGGTTGCTGTAACCTAGCAACAGCCTCCATCCCGGTATAATGTAATTAATCCAGAGTTGGCTCCGTCTGCTGCTTAAAGACACCTGGACACGTGGCTGAGCCTTTTTAACTTGCGGTTTTGCCTCCAAAGCCATCCTCCTGCACCGCAGGCTGCAGATGTGTGCCGGCCACAGTCAGTGCCCCGCAGCTGCTGAGCGCAGAGCTCAGACCCAGCGCTGCACTCAGCCGCACCTCGGCCCAAGGAGCGCTGCGGGGCCGCTGGCTGATGCCCGGGTTGGAGCGGCGTGGAGGAGGCCAGGACGGCGTTCCGGGTTCAGCCGGAGCTGTTATCTGTGCGCACGTCTGCCCGAATCGCGGCTCCCGGAGCATCCCGGGGCGATGCGAGTGGCTCGGCGAGACCTCCGGAGAAACATGGGCCACGAAAGGTGCAGACGAGCCGCCGGAGCGGAACGCAGCCCCGGAGCGATGGTTTTCTCTTTGGTCCCGCTCCGCAGAGCACCCGGCAGCGGTGCTGAGCCGGCAGCGCCACGGGCTCGGGCATCGGGGAACGGATGTGCTGAAATAAAGGCAGCGGTGCGGGGTTGAGCCCAGCGGGGCCGCGGCCGTAGCACAAACCCCGCCGCACCGCTGATCCGAGAGCTTCCGCAGCGTGAGGCGGCCGTGCACCCTGACCAACCCCGCTGGAGTCGTTGCGCCCCGCGTCCCCGTTCCGTCACCCCGCGGCACGATCGCGGTGACAGCGGCTGCGGCCCCGCGCCGCGCTCACGGCTCTGCCGCTCCCCATCACCGCCCCCGCCCCGAGCGCTGCCCGCACCCGTCCCGCGGCCGTGCGGTGCCGCTCCCACTGCCACGGGCAGTCCCCAACCCTCGGGGGCGGTTCGTGCCGCCTCCTCCCGGGGGTGCGAAGGCAGCCCTTAGGGGTGGCTCGGCCCCAAACCCGCGTGACGTGTGCTGGGTTTCGTCCCTCTGCGGCAGCCGCAGGGCGCTTCCCCGGCGCCAGGACGGATCCCGCATCGTTCGGGCGGCTTCCGCGGATTTCGCTTCGCTTCGTGCCCGGCTCCCAGCCGCGCTGCCCGGAGCTCTGCCCCCCGCCCCGTGCCCGTGCTGAGTCCGTGCGAGCGCCGCCCGAGCAATGCGCTGAGCCGCGTCGGGACTCGGCGCTGGCGTGGGGCCGGCAGCAGACGGGGAGCAGATGGAGCAGCGCGACGGGGTCGGTGGCGGCCGAAACGAGTGCTGCGTCCCGCAGGGAGGAAAATGGAAGCGCCGAGGTGGGGGCCGAGCACCGGGCACTCCGGGGGCTGCCCGTGGCGAGATGGGGCTGTGAGATCCTCGCCCGCACTGCGCTCCCGGGGCTCAGCGCCAGCAGCTCTGCGCGGCAGCCCGGGGACACGGAGTCGCTGCGTCCGCGTCGTCACGGCGCGTCCCGGGGGGGCGGGGGAGAACCGGTGGGGGCCGGGCTGGAGCCGAACGGAGCCGAACCGGGGCCGGGCGGGGAGCGGGAGGCGGTGTCGGGGGTGGTGGCCCGGTCCGGCCCGGCCCGGCCCCGGCTGGTAACTCCGCCTGCTGTATTTATGAGAAAACAAGCGGCGGCAGAGCCGGGTGGCCGCGGTAGAGCGCCGTGCCGTGCCGTGCCGCACCGTATCGGGCGGAGCCGGGCCGAGCCGGGCCGGGCCATGGGCACCGGGGCGGCAGCGGGCCGAGCCTAGCGCGGCGGCGGCGGGGATGCATTGGGGTCCGCCGGGGCGGCGGGCGCGGAGCAGGTAAGGGGGAATGGGGTGGGTGGTCGGGGCCTTCTGCACCCCCGGGACCCCGGCAGGGCATCCCCCTGCGGCTCCCCCGGGCCATTCCCACCAATCCCATCGCATCTCTTCCATTGCATCCCCGCTATGCTTCCTCCATTCCGCACATCTCCATCCCTTCCCCCCATAGCCCAGCGCCCTGCCCTCCTCGTCCCATCTTATCTCCGGCGCCCTCTCAGGCCATCCCCATCCCATCCCCATCCCCATCTTCATTCTCATCTCATCACCATCCCATCCCACTCCCGTGCCTCCATCACCGCGCCGCAGTGCCATCTGTCCCCGGGCCCGGCTCAGCACCCGGCGCGGCCCAGCGGGCCCAGTGTCACCCGGCGCCGGTGCGCAGTGCGGAGCCACCGCCCCGGGACCAGCAGCTCTGCTTTCCCCGGCTGCGTCCCCTCGCCCCGCCGGGCACTGCATTCCGGGCAGGTAATGGGGACTGCGGGGGGCTGCGGGGGTGACAGCGGGCCTGGCGATGTCACCCGGCACTGTGCCCCGCTGGAGCAGGCTGCCCCATCTGTGTCCATCTGCGGGAGCCCCTCGGGGCGGGGAGCCCCAAGCACCGGCCCTAAAAAGGAGAAGGGGTCGGGGCACACAGGGGGAATGCATCGGCGCGACCTTGCACGGAGCACCCAGGCCTGGGCTGCAAGTGCAGCGGGCGCAGTTCACTGGCCACGCATGCAGCATGCTTTGCACAGTGCAGGAGGCGCGCACACGCAGGATGCCCGAGGCCACAGGGCCGTGCAGTGGCAGCCAGCTCAGTGCAGCGCAGTGGCAGCATGATTGTGCTGTGAGTGCGGTGCTGCAGCAGCAGCGTGCTCGGTGCGGTGCGTGTAGGCAGCGTGCTGGCGGTACAGGCGGGGGCTGTGCTGGCAGCACACCCTAAGCAGCACTCCCAGGGTGTTCTGTGTGATGGGCACAGGGATGTAGCAATGCCCATGGGCCGGCGGCGTGCCTGGGGCGGCGTGCAGCTGAGCCGGGTGGGTCGAAGGGCAATACTCAGTGCTGAGCCCACCGTGGGCACGGGACAGGCTGGGGGCAGAGCAGGTTGGGGGCAGCGGCACCGCACAGCCCTCGTGCCGCCTGCCCTCGTGCCACGTGCAGGGAGCGACCCAATTCTCGGAGCCTCCCCAGGGCCCCTCCTGCAGCCCGGGGTCTCTGCTGGCCCCAAATGCCCTCGTGCCGCTCCTTGCACGCTGCTGGGAAGGCACTGCTGGCTCCCTCGGTGCTGTGTGGGATCACAGCTGTGGGCAGAGTGCTGCTGGCACACGTAAGGCAGAGGTGTCCCCAAGAAGCAGAGGTGTGAGGGGCTGTGATAAACCACAGGGGCCCTCTCCGGGAGAGGGTGCAGTGGGATGCAGGTGGTGGGTTTGCTGTGTCCCCAGAGGGTGCCATGGGACCCATACAAGCTCCATCTGCAGCCCTGAAACGCTGCCAGCTGATGGCGGCATCCTCCGGGGGATACAGGAGGAACCCAGGGGCTGGGGGCAGAACGGGGCTGCTAGCACCTACCAGCGGGAGGCAGGAGAGTGGGTGGGAGCAAAATCCTCCCCCTGTAGAGGGGACGTGGTGCTCGGGACCCGTGGGCAGTGGGAGTGTGGCAGTGCACCTGCCCGCCCTGAGGCACACAGACACAGTCCCCACATACAGCTCGCTCTTCTCAAGGCTCAGGCCACTCCTGGGGGCCCTGCTGAGTTCTGTCTGAGCACCCAAATGGGGCTGCTGTGTCACACCGGTGTCCGTCCCACCATGGACAGCCACAGCAGGACCATCCCTGCTGTGCCCCAGATGCGCAGTGGATGCCCATGTGGGTGCTCCCCGTGCACTGCTGCAGAGCCCCCCCAGCGCCCTGCCGCGCAGCCTCCCCACGCACCCACGCCATCCTCGCAGAGGAGGAATAATTTGGGGAAACCATGGCAACCCAGGGATGCACCACGCTGTCCCTGGGTTCCCCTGGCAGCGCGACCTCGCACAGCTCAGCAGGTGGTGTGGTGTCCGTGTGATGCAGAGCCCACACCCCTGGAGCTCTCTGTGCCCCGTGGCCCCAGCAGCCACCTGCTCTCATGGCCAGGACCCTCAACACACCTCTTTTATTTTGCAGCGCTGGGATGGAGCCGCCGCGGTGCCCTCGGCCAGCTCAGCCCACCTGCCCCATCCCTGCTGCTGCTGGACCAGGTAGGACCCTGGCCAATGAGCCACGGTTCCCTGCCTGTGAGCAGCGCGATGCCGTGGGGATGGGCTGCCCGGTGCCACTGCTGGCATTGCTGTGCAGGGGTGCTGCCCTCCTGTGCCCACAGGTGCTCCCAAAGGCACCTCCTGACCTTTCCAGACTGGCACCAAGCACTCCCTGGCCACCAGGCTCCCTATTCTCTTGGGCAGAGGTCCCTGCTGCCTCCCACTGCATTCCTACCTTCACCCCTTCCCCAGCACCTGTGTCCACCCCCAGTCCCCAGCTTCAGGACAAGACAGGGCTTCATCCAGATGGGAAATGAGGGCTACAAGACCCCCTGCCACATCCATGCAAAGTCAACACTACACCTTGCCAAATAAAGTCTGTTCCTTTTCTCCCTGAAATGCATTCCCTGTGGTCTGGTCCTCTGCTTCTGTTTAAAACAAAATGCATTCTGACTCCCTTTGCAATGCACATTTTTGTCTCCTGCAGCAGCCTGCACAGCCCCATGCTCCCAGGCCCCCAGCCAGGTGGTCCATATCCTGAGTGTTAGGGCTGGGCAGTCGTACCCACAAGCAGACTGGGCTGTGTGCGCTCAGTGCTGACTGCAGACCGCAGCTGTTCCCCACAGGCACTTTCACTGAATATGACTGCAGAACCCACCAGGTGCCTGGCTGAGCCACCCTGCTCACCTTGGCATGCCAGCAGCACACAGAATGTCCCCTTGCCACACAACTATCTCACATGCAGCCAGGGGCTCTGCATCCTGCAGTGGTGGCTCTGTGCCCGTCCCTTCACTGACCCCCGTCTTGCTCCTTCAGCCAGTGGCCCCACCAGGGACACCCATCCTGGTGCAGGGCAGCACAGGATGTGGGGGAGGACAAAGCTGGACGGTGCTGAGTGAGCACAGCCTCTCTGGAGCTGGGTCACCTGAGCCACAGGTGGTGAGGAAGTGGCTGAGGAGTTGCTGCTGGCTTCTGGGTGGGGGCAGGGCCACAGCAGCCCTGCTGCCTCTGTGAGCCCTGGGGAGTGCCATGGCTCCGAGCAGCCAGGACTGCTGCCAGTCCAGGGCACTCATGGGCTGTGGGTGTGTAGAGCTTCTCTGCCCACTGCGGGGGTGCCCACATTGCCCATCTTCAAGTGATGCTCCCAGTGGTGCACATGTGGTCCTGGGAGCCCACATGGCTGCTTGGATGGTCACAGTGCACTGCCAGAAACATCCCCACCTGCTACAGAAACTCCCTTGCTGAGTCCCCCGAGCCCTGCTCTGAGCTGCTGATACTGCAGGAGGGTCTGTGTGTCCCAGGCCTCTCCCCAGCAGCTCTGGACAGCAGTTGGTGACCTCCTGCCCTTGGTGAGCAGGCACAGGAGTGCCATGCTGGTACGTTCCCAGCTGTGCCCGCAGGTGCCACGGCATTTGTGTGCCCTCTGGACAGCGAACCTCTCTGAACAGCGTTTCGGTGCTTCCCAGCTGGAGCAGTGTGTTAACAGCAGCGGCAGGGCTGGGGCACCCCCAATCTCCCTGCTCTGAAGAGGTGGCTGAGCCCCCTGAGCCGAGAGTGTGGGGTTTGATCCCATGCCGCCGTGGCCCCGAGCTCCTCGCCGGGATTTAGGGACCTTTCTGTTCTCTTGCAGGGCCAGCTGCCTTCCCCTGAGGCCATCTGAAGGAAGCTGGCAACAGAAGCGTCACTTTTAAGATGACACGAACGGACCCACCTGACATCCTGGTGTCTACGGTGTACCAAGACATAAAGGTGGCCTCCGCAGCCCCTGGGGATTCCATTGTCCGCCAGCCCCTGGCGCGATGTGACGCCTCCATGTCCTCCTCCCTGCCCCGCGACCCTCAGCCCTTCAACAAACGCCACTGCCGGAGCTTTGACTTCCTCGAGTCGCTGGACGAGCCGCTGGGCGCTCCTCCGGCCATGGAGCGGCCGTGCCCGCAGCCCGGCAACCCCGAGCCCACCACAGGGCCACCAGGCCGGCGCGTGCCCCCCAAGCCGGACCCGTACGGCGGCAGGGCCCCACCACCGGCCAGGGATGCTCCGCGGGGCGAGCCGAAGCGGCGGGCCCGCTCCAAGAGCACGCCGCGGATGAAGCCCTCCTTCACACCGGTGCCCATCACCGTCTCGGCATCGCCACCCCCAGCCCGGCGTGGACGCGAAGCGCTGCGGGTGGAGCGGGGGCCGCCACGTGCCGAGCCGTCACCGCGCCGCGAGAGCCACGTGCCGCTGCGAGCGTTGGCCAACGAGGTGCACCCCATCAAGCTGCAGCCGCAGCGCAGCAGCGTCAGCCGCATCTCCCCGCTCTGCGTAGGCAGCAACTGCTTCGAGGAGGGGCCGGGCACCAAGGTGGGCGCCAGCCCCCACGTCAAGTGCCGCGTGGACATCAAACCGGACGAGGCGGTGTTGGTGCACACTGCGCGCAGCCTGCGGGCTGCGCAGAGCCGGCCAGAGCCGCCACAATGGCCCCGCGCCCCTGGGGCCGCCCGCAGCCTGGCAGTACCGGGGAGCAGGCAGGTGTCCATGTCCCGCACGCCCACCCCCAGCGACTCCTACAGTGGGGACCCCCCGCTCCTGCCCTACCCCGGTGAGTACTTTGAGGCGGATCCACGGGCGCTGGCGTACCAGACGGTGCCGGTGCCGGCCTCACGGGAATTCAGGGAGTACCCCGAGAGGGGCTGCATGACCTTCTCGGCGGCCAGTGTCCCCACCAAGTTCTTCTATGCGGAGGAGCCGGTGCGGTGCCCCAGCCCCGCCATGCCGCTGCGGAGCGCGGGCTACGCCAGCTACCCCTACCCTGTGCGCCACGGCCCCCCACAGCACTTCTACGTGGAGGACCCGGCCAGGGCGGGCGTGCACACTGTGCCACCGCGGACGTTGTACGTGGAGGAGGCGCGGGGTTTCCCCGTGCAGGAGGCGCCCACCCATGCCTTCTACAGAGAGGAGCCTCGCTTCTACACCCCACGCAGCACCCCTGTCAAGGCCCTGTATGCGGAGGATGCCCGGACATACCCAGCACTTGGCTCCTCAGCCAGGGTCTTCTACGCTGAGGACTACGGGAAGTACCGTGAGCGGGAGGTGCTCTCACGAACGTGCCCCCCTCCCCGCAGCACCCAGCCCTTGCACTTCGGTGACTGGTACTGCCCCGAGCGGAGCGCGCTGCCCTACCAGAGCTTGCAGGTGTCACGCTTTGCCCCGCAGCCGGCTGGGCGCGAGGCCATGCTCTCCTCCTGGCACGCCAGCTACAGCACAAACCCACCGCGGCTGGGCCGGGACAGCCAGCACTACTCCAAATCGTGGGATAACATCCTGGCACCCGCAGCACGCAGGGAGGAGGCCCTGCAGCGCGGGCGCAGCTACGAGAACCTGCTCGTCCAGGAGCAGCACCGTGCCTTATCCCCTGACGAGCGCCGGCAGCCAGTGGTGATCAACCTGTCGAGCTCGCCCAAGCGCTACGCTGCCCTGTCCCTGTCGGAGAGCTCCATCCTCGAGCGGGTGCACAGCGACAGCGGCCGTGGCCCCCTGGGCCGTTCCTGGTACGTCACGCCGGAGATCACCATCACTGACAACGATATCCGCGCCGATGGGATGGGCCGCAGTGAGCGGCGCTCGGCCAGCTGGGACGTGCTGGATGCAGGACGGGAGCAGACGCCCTACGCTGCGCCCTACGCCCCGCAGCCCGTCCCCAAGGAGAGTGGCTCAGCGCGCCAGCGCAGCCTGGAGCAGCTGGATGAGCTCATCACCGATCTTGTCATCGACTACAAGCCGGCGCCAGGCCACCGTGCAGGGGACAGAGACAGCCTGGCTGAGCAGCTCAAGAAGCTCCTGAGCAGCAGCGCCCCAGGACCACCTCGGCGGGGTGAGGGGAGGAAGGTTCCCCCCAGCATGCCTGAGAGTTTCCGGCCCACGAAGGAGCAGCCGGGTCCCAGCTCTTTCGGCGGCGCCCCGCGCCCACAGCCCTCCCCGCCAGCCAGCAGCACCTTTGAGAAGCCTCTGGAGAACTGCTCACCTGACCTGAGCGCGGAGGAGGATGACATGATGATGTGCTCCAACGCCAAGTGCCGGCGGACGGAGACCATGTTCAATGCCTGCCTCTACTTCAAGTCGTGCCACAGCTGCTACACATATTACTGCTCCCGGCACTGCCGCCGCGAGGACTGGGACACGCACAAGGAGAGCTGCGTCTACGGCCGCGTGGGCAGCGTCTGCCGCCACGTGCTGCAGTTCTGCCGGGAGAATGCTGAGGTGCACAAGGCCTTCTCGCGCATTGCCAAGGTGGGTTACCTGTCCCGCGGCCGCGGTGTGCTCTTCCTGGGCTTCCCCAACTCGGGCTCAGCTGAGAACTTCCTGCAGTTCGGGCTGGAGAGCCTGCTGATGTCCCCCACCTACCTGTCCCTGCGGGAGCTGGAGAGCTACTCAGACAACCTGGGGGAGTACGCCCGGGAGCTGCGGGAGACCGGCAACCAGTACGACCCCGACGAATGTTTCCTCTTGAATGTAACCGTGGCCGTGGCTCAAAAAGTGCCGGAGAGGCCGTCTCCAAAGGTGCAGGTGCCGACGGTCAGGAAATACGCCAAGGTGGCCTTAGCCTCCTCCAGCCCCGAGAAGAAGATCCCAAAGAAGGAGCGGGATATGGAGACGTTGATCCTGACTCCGCCACCCGGCACGGCGGACATCGACAAGGAGGGCGAGGAGGGCCGCAAGGCGCGGGAGGTTTGCTTCATCAACATCCAGCGGGAGCTGCGCATCCGCGGCGTCTTCCTGCGGCACGAGTTCCCAGCCGTCTACGAGCAGCTCTGCGACTTTGTGGAGAGCAACAAGCGCTTCACCCCCACCACCATTTACCCCATCGACAAAAGGACAGGCAAACAGTTCATGTGCATGATCATGGCTGCCTCCGAGCCCCGCACGCTGGACTGGGTGGCCAGCCCCAACCTCCTGGATGACATCATGTGAAAGTGGCACTCGGACCCCAGCGGCCGCGCGGTCCCTCTGTAGATAGGCGTTTTCCCGGCCAGGCGGTGGGACGGGCACCCTCTGCTCCCCGGGGAGGAGGCCGAGGGGAGTTGGGGGGGGTTACCGGAGCCGCCGGGTGCCGTGGCGCGGTGCAGCAGCATCCCGCGGGTCTCCACGTGCCGCGCCGCAGCACCCCGCACCCCCACCCACACCCGGAGCCCGGCGCGGCGCATCCCCCGGCCGGGACCCACACCCGGCCGGGAGCCGCAGGGCGCTGCTGGGCTACAGCAGGTGCTGCCTGCGGGGCTGCGCGGCTCCGCGGGGCCGGGTGAGAGCGGGGCAGCGTAAGGCCGCTGTGCTGTGCTGTGTCCTGAGCGTGGCACCGTGTGTGAGCCGCGGGCGCGGCGGGGAGGCGGCCGAGAGCCGGGGCAGGCGCAGGGCCGGGGGGGACAGAGCGGGGACAGAGCCCGGCGCCGTGCCGGGCCCTACCTGGAGCAGGGCCCCGCCCACCGTCCGGCACCGCCGCCCCGTTCCGCCGCGGCCGGTGGCAGCTCCGGTACCGCCGCGGGTCTCAGGGCTCGAGGCGCAGCCCGCCGCCCCGCGCCGCGCACAGCAGCCCGCAGCCCCGTCCGCACCGCCCTGGAGTGGGCGCCGCCGGAAGGGGCGGTGCCAACACTCCGGTCGCGGGGCGGGGCCCGGCGCTGATTGGCCGCGCTGCGCCGCACGCCCCGGAAGGGGCGGGGCACCGTCGGGGCGGGAGCGATGGCGGCGGCGGCGCTGCAGCGGGTGGCGGACGTGGAGATCGACGACGGCGGCGTGTTCAAGTACGTCCTGCTGCGTGTGCGGCACCGCGCCGCCGGCGCTTCGGAGCCCGGGAAGGAGGTGGTGCGCGGGCACGGCTGGGCCGAGTACCACGGTGAGGGCCGGGCGGCGGCCGGGGCGCGGTTCCTGCAGAGCGGCTACGGGGCTCCCTTTGGCGGCGCGCTCCGGGCTCGGCGCCGCGGGACGGGGCTGCGGAGATTACGGCGGGCACGGCCCTTCCCGCCGCTCCCGGCGCCGTCCCGGGGCCGCCTGACCCGCGGTGCGCTCTCCCGCAGCCGATATCTACGACAGGGCGGCGGCCGAGCTGGAGCCGCAGGGCTTTGACTGCGAGTGCCTGGGCGGCGGCCGCATCTCCCACCAGAACCAGGAGAAGAAGATCCACGTCTACGGGTACTCGGTGGTGAGTGGCGCTGCCGTACCGCGGAAGCGGGAGAGCCCCGCGTGCGGCACCGCTGTGAGGTGGGCTGGGGTCGGGCTGCCCCTTCGCGGGGTGGCAGCCCCGGGGCCTCGTGCCCTGCTGGCTGTGTTGGATCGGAGTGCGGCTCCCGCTTTGGCAGCTGTGGCAGCCCGTGCAGGTCCTGCTGCGCGGCACGGGGCGGTGGTGGGAGGCTGAGTGCAGACCGCAGCTGAACTGTCGCTGTGCTGCGCTGGGGTGCCTGCAGGAGCTGCAATCCCACACTACTGCTTTCCCTCCACCCCCCACTAGGCAGTGCTCGCCTGCTTCCCTTTGTCCATCACTATTCCCCTTCTCTGCTCTTGGGGAGCTGTCACCTGCTCCCCAAGGAGCTCAGAGTGCGCTGAGGGTGGCAGTGACGCCAGCTCTGCTCCCAGTTCCCATCTCCAGGGATTACTTTTACTGGTGGGTGGCACTGCACTCAGATGGGAGCTGTGCTGCCTGGCAGCCTTCTCTAGACTGAGCTGTGCATGGCCTGAGCCAGTGCTGTGCTTCAGTCGCAGCCATTCAGCTTGCACAGACACAGGGCCTGTCCTTTCTCCCAGGGCATCTGATTGCTTTGACTGAGTCACTGGCTCACTAGGCTCTTCTGCAGGTGGTAACTGCATCTGCTTTACTCCTGAATTCCCTTTCATCTTGCAGGGCTTTGGGCGAGCAAATCACTCTGTGACTACTGAGAAGCTGAAAGCCAAGTATCCAGACTATGAGATCACCTGGGCAGATGAAGGCTACTGATGTGACCTGGTAGGGCAGCAGCACCAGCCAGGAGCTGGTGGGATCGCTTCCAGCACTCACAAAATGGCAGCAGGGTCTCCATACTCAGCAACGCCCTGAGCTCTGCTGGGTTTCTCTCTTGAACTCACTGCACTGATGAGCTTCCATCCTCTGGGGGAACTCGCCCATCTCTATTGTCACCACACTTCCCGTGTGCCGTGGACTCTTCCCATCTCCCTGCCACGGAGCCACAAAGCCTGCGGGTGAAGTCCTTACCTGGGTGAAGTTGCTGAGCACTTGGCTTCCCCTGTGGCAAGGATTTGTCCATGTATATGTGAGAATTAAACATGTTGGGGAGTGCCGCTGGCCCTGCTTGGTTCTTTGTTAATGGCTTAGCTCCTTCCTGCATGTCTGGTGTTTCCTCATAGTGGGACCGTGTGAGGAGCAAGTCCCCAGGCTTCCAGCTCTGCAGACGTCTGTTGGAGTCAGTGCTTCGGAACTGACAGCAGAGTGCATGTCAGGATTAGCCTTGGGAGCAGCTGCAGTCAGTGGGGTGGGATCTAAAAATAGTGCCTGTCCTGCAGCCCTGAGAGCACCAAGCAGAGCTGGGAGACAACCGTAAGAAAGGGATGGATCCCCATTGCCTGACAAAGGGAAGGGCAAAGCATGTGCTCGGTCTTCTTGGACAGAAGGAGCAGAGCAATAACAGTAGCCTGCAGAATGTGTGTCTTCATCTTCTGCCCCCAGCCACTGGGAAACAGCACGGAGCTTCCAGGGAGCATGGGCAGTGATTGATCACACCTCAGTCCTCCTTGAATTTAACCCTCTGGACAGCTAGCACTGGCTTCTGTGCCTTGGTATTTCCCAGCTTGCTCTTCCAGGGGACCTTTCTGTTTACACTTCCATGGTGAGGGAGATATTGGGAATGAGGGGCTGGGTGAAGCAGCAGAGGATGCTGCGGAAGTTTGGGTGTCAGGAGAGCTCAGGGTGCTGCAGGCCAGGCTGGCTGTGTAGGTTGCTCCATTGCTGCCTCATATGAGGGCGGGGAAATTGTTCGACATGGGTAAGAATGGTTTGGGCTGGAAGGGGTGTTAAAGATCGCTGTTCTGACTCCCTGCTGTGTGGACTGGGTGCAGCTCAGGCTGCCCAGAGCCCCATCCAGCCTGGTCTTGGGCACCTCCAGGATGGGGCACCCACAGCTTCTCTGGGCCTCAGTGCCAGGGCCTCACCACTCAAGGAGTGAAGAATTCCTCACACCTAGCCTAAATCTCCTCTCTTTCAATTTAGAGCACTTACCCTTTGTCCTGTCGCTACACTCCCTGATAAAGTGTCCTCTGAGGCAGTATCTTGTCACCTTCACTGGGGAGGGATCAAACCACCCCAAGGAGAGACAAGGCACAGAGCTCATGTCTGCGAGCAAGAAAGTCATCTGCCATGGAGACCCAGAGTGTGTCAGCATAGTGCCTTAGTAAAGCAGCTGCTTCCTGGAATCAGGAGTCCTATTCCCTGAATCCAAACAGATACTGGGCATCAAACTCAGGAAAGAGAGAAGTGTTGTGGATCAGTGGGAAAAGCCCCACGGGATGCTCTGCAGCGTGGCTCTGTGCCGCGGGTGGGGTGACTGCTCTGTGTGGGAGGGCACAGGGTTCCTCACCTCCACGTGTCCCCTCTCACACTCAGGAATTGGGCCCCATCTTTTACTACACCTGTTGCAATCGCACTGCGCAGCAGCACAGATAACAGAGGGTCTGAAGTCCAGAGAGGAGCAGATCCTGGGGAGCAGATTCCAGCCTGGGGCTTGTGGCATGGCTTCCCCTGGCTGCTGCCTCTCCCGACTCCCTTCTGCCCTCTTCACATCCCTTCTGCCTGTGATGTCGGGGCTCACACTCCTCCTGGCCCTGCTGCTGCTGGGTGAGTTGATGCCGTGCTGGGGCAGTGCTTCGGGTTGTGCTGGGGGTGAGAGGGGCTATAGTTCTACAGGGCCTGCCCATGCCTGCCCCACTGGGGGCTTGCTGCACCTCACAGCTCTGTGGAAGCTTTCCCAGCTTGAGGGGCAGAAACGCCTGCCCCTCCCCACCAGGTCTCTTCTCATGTAGACACAATGGGGATTCCCTGGGGTGAGTGTGTGCTGGAAATGCCAGGGACAGTCCCAGTGAGGCTGTGCAACATTGATGGCTTTGCTCAGCATGAGGAGGAAATGCTGAAACCTTCCCAGTTTCCCCCTAGATGGTGGCTGGGGCTTGGACTAGGGGTGTGATTTGATGGGGTGACAGTGGCAGGGTTGGTGCCACTGCCCTGCTGGTCTCTGGTGTTGAGTGCTGGTGCTGGGGGATGCCAATCCATGAGAGCAGGGAGGGAGCAGGATCCCAGACCAGCAGGCTTTAGCCTTACTCCAGGCTCTACCCGGGCTACCAGCCTGTTGGGCAGAGGTGGAGGTCCTGTCCAAGGGATGATGCTGCTGAGAGCCCAGTGCTCTCCCATGCAGGGTCCCAAATGGGGTTGCACACATGTATGGATGCATGTACCCTCGGTCACCCACCGGTGGCCCCTTGCCCAGCACCTCCATGGGGTTTTCAGCCCCTTCCTCTCTCTGGCAGCCGGGTCCATCCCCTCCAGCAGGGCTGCTGCTGTCAACAGTTGTGGCAGCATGGCTGAGCAGCACTGTGACTTCATGTGCCACTGCGGTGACTGCTCCGATGAGAACCAGTGCGGTGAGTGCCTGTGAGAGAGTGATGGAGTGTGGGCACCGCAGCTCCCCAGGCTGATCCAGCTGTGCCCTGATCCCTTCCCCTTACCCCAGGGTACCTGGGGATCTCGGCCGTGCTTGGCTCCCCCTTCACCTGTGATTTCGAGGATGACGACTGTGGCTGGCGGGATGTGAGCACCTCCACCTACAGATGGGTGCGGGGCCGGGCCAGCCTGGACTCATGGGGCACAGGGCTGCACTCAGACCACACCATGGGCACAGACCGGGGTAAGCAGAGGCTGCAGCATGGGCTCCCGATCCTCTGGTCCAGGACTGGATCTCCTGTCCTGGCAGGGTGCTGGGGCAAAGCCTGCAGGAGCAGTGCCGGCCACAGTGCTGGCCACAGTGCTGGTGCCACTCCATGGGTGCAGCCCCCGCTCTGCTCTGCCCTCCTCAGGTTGGTTCATGGTGACAATGTCCCCGCCGGCAAAGGCCACAGCCACTGCCTGGCTCCAGTCACCAGTCATGCAGGAGGCGACTGCCACGTGCGAGATCTGGGCTTCGTACCACCTCTCAGGAAGTGGTGAGTGCACCCAGGATCCTGCAGTGGGTACCAGGGCAAGGAGGCGACCCATGGGGGCAATGGGGAGGGACAGAACACTTCAAGATAGGTCTCTGCCATCTCGCTCACCTCTTCCATGCCCTATACATGGAGGTGGCAGGCCCTAAGTGTCCCCACCCCAGTACAAGTCACCCCATAGCACAGGCCCATTTCAGTGGCCACCTATGGGTTCTCTGCAGGGCTCAACCAGACTGCATGCCCGGTGTTGCGCCTGGCTGTGGCATTTGGGAACACGGTGGTGGAGCTGTGGCGGAGCCCCGAGAACAGGGCCGAGGGCTGGCACCAGCTGGTGGCATACCCTGGCCGGATCAAGGGGCAGTTCCAGGTGAGATGGGGATGCTGGGCTGCACCAGGAGCTGAGGCTGTCGGGGAGGCTCACCCAGCCCTCACCTCTCACTGCAGCTCACCTTCGCCCTGACACAGCCACCCACATGTGGGGCAGTGCTGGCTCTCGATGACATTGTCTTCAGGAACTGCGGCTTGCTGGGTGAGTGCTGTGGCTGCTGGGATGGTGCTGGGACCCCGGGGAGGTGATTGGCCTTGGTGTTCTGTGCAAGCTCTCCCACTGCCCGTGATGCCGTGGGGTCCTGGCCAGGGCGCATAGTGGGCAGAGAGAGTCCATTCCTTGGGTGTGGGAAGCAGCCCAGGGGGCAGAGCAGAGAGCCTGGCACAGACTGGTGCTGACACTGTTTCCCATGGCCCAGCGGCTGGGCAGCAGAGCTGTGGGGCAGAAGAGAGCAACTGCAGGAGAGGATCCTGCCTGGCCCTGGACCGCTTTTGTGATGGCACCGATGACTGCGGGGATGGCTCTGATGAAGATGCAGAGCAGTGCCGTGAGCATCTCCAACCCTGGGGCTGGGAGAGGCAGATGGGCAGAGGGTCTGAGCCCATGGAACCATGGGTTGGCATGTGAATGGCAATGTCCCAGAGCTGCAGGGACAAAACCACCCAGCAGGTTTTGCACAGCCTATCGTGCAGCCCCTTGCCCGAGGAGGGCTGGCCTTCATCCGTGTGTCACTGCTCTCACTGTCCCACAGAGCTCTTCACCCCCTGTCCCTTCGAGGAAGATCTTTGCAGCTGGGAAGTGGAGGTTGGGCAGCCAGCATGGGGGAGGAACACAAGCATGGCCCTGGGGACCACCTCTGGTGTTCCCACCCGGGATCACAGCAACAACAGTGCTACAGGTGTGTGCTGGCAGTGGGTTCCCCATGCCTCTCACCATCCTTATTCCTTCTGCCTTTCTGACCGCATGCCCAGCCCTGCTCAGAACCATCTTGGTGTCTCCTCAGGCTATTTCCTCCACACCATCAGTGGGGGTGCCAGCAGTGTGGCCAGGCTGAGCAGCCCCACTTTCCAGGCCACCAACTCCTGCTCTGTGAGTCACTATGGGCACTTGTGTGCAGGGAAGGGGACAGCAGCCCCACGGGCATGGTGGTGGTGAGGGACAGGATCCCCATTTGCAGGGACCTCTGCATGGGGTCAGGGCTGCTGTGGCTCTTTGTCTGGGGAGGACAATGGGTCTAGGGGTGGTTGGTGGCATCTCCAGGACCTGGTGGGAGCACCGAGCTTCTCCAGCCCCATGTGTGAGTGCCTCATGGGGTGTGAGGACTTTGTGCCCCTGCTCAGCCCTCACTGCCACCACCCGGCCCCAGCTTGTGCTGTACTGCCATCTCCACGGCTCAGCCACCAGCAGCCTCAGCATCTCCTATGTGATCAACTCCACTGAGCACCTGGTGAGAGAGAGAACAGGGGACACAGGAAACTGTTGGATCCGTGAGCGAGTGGACTTCAATTTGACAGAGAGCTTCAAGGTGGGCTGAGTCTGTGCTGGGTGAATGGGGTACCCATGGCCCCACTCCAACTGGGGAACTGGCAGGGGCACGGCCCTGGCCCCAAAGCCTGTCCCTACAGCAGCCTCCACCAGCACTGCCCCAAGACAAGGGGGTCCCCCATGCCATGTCTCTGGTCTGTGCACCCCCAGTGTGCTCTCATGGGACCAGTGATAAGGGATGGGCTGGGAACCAGAGGCCAGGGCTGAGCCTTCTGGTGTGTCCCCACATCCCCCATTTACAAATCCACCCAAAAATCACCCTGCTGGAGTGGGGAGCAGTCCTTACACACACCACGTCACCCCACAACTTCCCCCAGGCTATCTGCCCTCCCCTATGGCCACCCACCTGCCCAACACCTCCCAGCCATGGGGGCATCCATATTGGCACCCCCAGCAGCACCCGGTGACATGCTGGGCAGCCGCAGGACATGGGACATGCACAAGGGCAGAACCACTACCCCAAACCCACCGTTTGCAGCCGCAGCATCACCCTGACCCCCACACAGATCCTTCCCAGGGATGTGCTGACCACCACCGCGGCGCTTCCTGCAGGTGCTGATCACAGGGGAGGCGGGCAGCGGGGGCACTGTGGCTGTGGATGACCTGATCCTGTCTCCAGGCTGTGTGCCGCAGCAGGGTGAGCTGGGGTGGGGAGCACGTGGTGGGCTGCGGCCGGAAGGGCAGCACTAGGGCAATGCCTGGAGCCGGGCTCAGCCTCACGCCCTGCCAGTGCCACACTCTAGTCCGGGGCTTTTGCCATCAGAGCCTGCTCCCATGGAACTGCCGGGCCGGGCCCGTGCCAGCCTCTGCACGGCCGAGGAATTCTCCTGCGACAACGGGGGCTGCGTCAGTGCTGAGCTGGCCTGTGACTTCGCCAAGGCGTGTGCTGATGGCTCCGATGAGAACAACTGTGGTGAGAGCCAGCAGTGGATGCAGGGCATCCAGCTCGCCCAGCCAGCAGCCCTCGCGGTGCCAGGGGGTCCCGAAGCACCGTGGCGTGGCTGTGCTGAGCTATGGGTGTTACAGGAGCCACCACCTTCGAGGAAGGTGCTGGGGGTTGGCACGACACCAGCGTGGGCCGGCTGCGCTGGGCTGTGCAGAAGGCCACCGAGCCCACATCCACTGCCCTTGTGGGAGCAGGTGAGGCCATTCCCACCGCACAGACAATGCTTCCTGGTCCCCAGGACTACAGGAGCCCAGGAGGAGCAGAGCCTGCTCCTGCGTGGGTGGAGGGATGTCCCTGTGGGAGGGGTGGACGTGATGGTAGCAGGGTACTTCTCCTGGGGGTGCTGTGCGGGGCTCTGCCCCCGCCTCTCAGGCTGTTTCCTTGCCCAGGAGCTTTCTTGGCCCTTCAGAGAGGAGAAGGACAAATGGTGGCTCCCGCCAAGGTCCGCACACCTCTGCTGGGTCCCTCCAGCTTGGCCTGCGCCATGGAGATGAGCTACATCCTGCACAGTGGCCCCCAAGGTATCCCTGCCTGGCCGAGCCCTGCCAGCCCTGGCTGCAGGCTGGGTGGTGCTGGGCAGTGCTGCCCTTGTCCCCAGCACCATCTCTTATGCTCAGGTTTCCTTGCTGTTGCTGTCATGGAGCATTCCACGGACATGACGCACCTGGCCTGGCACACGCGGGGGCACGGCAGCACAGCCTGGGAGCACGTCCATGTCCCACTGGGGGAGAGGACCCGGCCCTTCCAGGTATTGCCAAGGGATGACCTGGCTGGGTGCAGGGCCACGGCCCCCAGGGCTCACCACCACCACCCACAGGTCGAGCTGCTGGGGATGGCGGAGCTGCAGGACCCAGCAGAAATCGCCATCGACAACGTGACGTTCGTGCAGTGCGACCCTGGCACGGAGCCCCTGGGGGCTGCAGGTGTGTGGGGACACGTGGGCGTCTTGAGCTGCAGGGGCTGCCGGGTGCCCTCACTGTCCCCAGCCCTGCAGATGGGCTGTGGGCCGGGCTGAGCACACCTGCTGTCCCCAGCACTCACTGCTGCCTGGGGCAGGTGGCAGGGAGATGCGCTGGGTGCTTATCTGCCCTGCCCTCACCACGGCCACCTCTCTCTGGGCAGAGCTGTCCTGCAACTTTGAGGCGGACCTGTGCGGCTGGTACCAGGACCGGGGCAGCGACTTCCAGTGGGTCCGCAGCACAGGGCAGGGGCAGGGCTCTGACCACACCACCGGATCGGGTAAGGGCCTGGCTCCTCTCATGCCATCCTGGGCAGCTGGAGCTGCCCCAGTCCCCAGGGTTGGATGTGCCTTGTGTGTCGTCGGCACACCTTGGGAGTAAGGGGAGTGAGCTCAGCTGAGCAGCACAGGGGCACTCAGTCCCTGCGCTGGGGACATGGCAGTGAGAGAAGGATGGATGAGCGCGGCTCAGTTGTTCCCACTGAACAGGATACTTCCTGGCCGCGGACCCCTCAGCACCGTGGAGCCGTGGGCAGCGTGCGCAGCTCACCACCTACAGCCAGGAGCCAGCTGCTGCTCCGCGCTGCCTCACCTTCTGGTACCGCCTGGCTGGCCCGCAGATCGGTACGTGGCCCTCCGTCCTCACCAGGCTCTGTGGTGCCATGTTGAGGCCGGATACAACACCGGCTCCCACTGCTGCCCTCCTCCCAGGCACTCTGAGCCTCAAGCTGCAGCTGCAGGGAGCAGAGGAGACGGTGCTGTGGACCCAGCGGGGCAGCCAGGGCAGTGTGTGGCACCGCGGGCTGGCAACGCTCCCTGCCACGGGGCAGCAGCACTACCGGGTGAGGGCAAGAGGTGTGAGGTGGCACGGGGCTGTGCTGGGCAGGGTCTCTGTGCCGGGGGGGGCACAGGCCGGGCCGCTCTGAAGCGTTGTCTGGTCTGGTGGCAGCTGTCCTTCGAGGCGCTGCGGGACGGCTTTGTTGGTGACGTGGCGCTGGACGACGTGGCGCTGACGGCGGGTGCCTGCGGGGCCGAGCTCTCCTGCTCCTTTGAGGCGGGCGCCTGCGGGCTGGCGGGCAGTGGGCAGTGGTGGTGGCAGAGCGGCGGCACCGGCATCACCATTGGCCCCGTGGCTGACCACACCACTGGCACTACCACAGGTACCGGGGCTGGGGCTCTGGGCGCACTGCCGTCTATCCTGCCCGTGTGGCTGCAGCTCTCAGCCCACGGCCCCCAACCACATGGGGGCTGCCCACGCAGATCAGTGCCTCCAGGAGAGCCAGGCATGGGGCAATCACAGCATGGGGTCTTCTTTATCACCAGGACATTATATGGTGGTGAACACCAGCAAGCACTCACTGCCCATGGGGCACGTGGCCACACTCAGCTCTGCGCTGTACCAGCGCTCTGCGCCTGCCCAGTGCCTGGCTTTCTGGTACCAGCTGAGTGCTGCAGCCCCAGGTGAGCCCTGCATGCTCCGAGCCACGTCCCCACTCAGCACAGGTTGGGTGCCATGGGCCGAGTGCTGCCCTGTGCCATGGACATGCAGCATGGTGCCATTCAGCATCTCCTTATCCCGGGCAGGGACTCTGCGCGTCCTTGTGGAGGAGAATGGTGAGCAGAGGAAGCTGTTCAGCATCAGTGCGATGGAGGGTGATACCTGGCACCGTGGGCATGTCACTGTTTGGGCAGACACAGATTGGAAGGTGAGGAAGGTCCCCAGGCAGCTCCCGGTGGGTGGCTGCCAGCCTTAGCATGCCCTCCCTGCAGGCGGTGTTTGAGGCGGTGGGAGCTGGGAGTGAGCACAGCTACATGGCACTGGATGACCTGCATGTGTCAGATGGAGCCTGCCCTGAGCCAGGTGGGAGCATGTGTGCTAGGTACCCCATGGGGACACATGGCCACAGGGATGGGGACAGATCTTCCATCCACTAGCAGCACCAAGCAGAGTGTGTCTTAACCCATGTTTCCACCCAGCGTCCTGTGACTTTGAGTGGGACACATGTGGCTGGAGCAGCCCTTCAGATGAGCGCCTGCACGGCTTCACCTGGGGCTGGAAGAGTGGGGTCCCCCTGGCCAAGTACCCCGGCCCTGAGCAGGACCACACCCTGGGCACGGAGGATGGTAGGAGATCCTCAGGGAGACCTGGCATGGTTTGGGGGGAGTAGCAGGAGCTGTGGAAGGATGGGATTACCTGTGAATGTCCCCTCCACTGCATCTCAGGCCTAAAAGGGCTGGGATGCAGATCAATGCCTTCATCAGCTCTGTCCTGGCCCCAGGCATGAGCTGGTACATAAAGGACAGACCTCACGAGGGCTGTTGCCCCCCAGTCAGCAGCACAGTCCTGCACACACTGTGTCAGCTGGCTGTATAGTGGCCCACAGCCTGTGCCCAAAGGCAGTGAGGGACAGGGAGAGCTGTGGGACAGGGGCCATCCTGCATGCCACCCTGCCCTCCAGGTCACTACGTGCACTTCGACACCCGTGTGCTGGGCGCAGGGGGCACCGCTGCCCGGCTGGAGAGCCAGCACCTCCCCGCCACCACTGCCGGCTGTCTGCACTTCTGGTACCACATGGACATCCCGGAGCACCTCTGTGAGAGCTGTCCCAGGGGGTGGGCGAGGGAGGGTGCTGCCCCTGGGGAGTGGGCTTTAGCCTAGAGCGGGAGCCAGGGGATGGCTGGGGGCTGGGGGGGAGGGGCAGCCTGGCACAGCTCTCGCAGGGCAGTGGGGTTCTGCCAGGCACTGCAGTCCCACAGACGGCCTGGCTGCTCCTGTGGGCTCCAAGCTGCTGCTGATACAGGGACAGCTGTCCCCCTTTGCTGCAGCTGGCGGGGAGCTGCAGGTGAAGCTGCAGAGTGTGGCAGGGCAGCGCACAGCATGGAGCGTGGCAGGGCAGAGGAGCCAAGGCTGGCAAGGCAGCACGGTGCCTTTGGAGAGTTCCAGCGAGTTCCAGGTGAGCGGGTGTCCTCCCAGGATGCTGGGTGCCCTCCATGCACATTGAGCCCAGCATCGCACCTTCCCACAGATTGTCTTTGAGATCACCTCGCGGATGTGGCCAATGGAGGGGACCGTGGCACTGGATGATATCGAGTACAGTGCCACTGGAGGCTGTGACTCCAATCCAGAGGCACCAGGGAAAGGTGTGGGTCATCCCCAACAACAGTATCACAAATTCTTTCTGACCGTGGTCCCTGCAAACCTGGCAGCATCTTTCTTCCTCTGTAGTGAAGTCTTCCAGTGGCTTTGTGGCAGAAGTGGTGCTTGGCCTGCTGCTGGCTGTCATTGTGCTGGCACTGGCAGCAGCTGGTTGCCGGTACTGGCTGAAAAGGAGAGCGCAGGGGAGCAGGATGGCCATGGAGAGCAACACTCCTCAGGGCTTTGACAACATCACTTTTCAAGATGTAAGCAGCAACTCTGGTGCGGGGGGATGTGCAGGACTCTCCTGTTGGCTCAGCTGCCCCCAGCAGCACCAAAACAATGCTTTCTAAAAGCTCAGCAAATCCCAGAAGGCATTCAGTGAGCCCACGGCCTGCCAACACGTCAGAAAGGGGCAAAGGGCTCTGCCCCTTATCTGAGCACTGGCAAATGAGTGACCCCAGGGCTAGGGGACTGACCTGGATACTTTGCTGCTGTGATCAGGCATTTGTTCCAGTTACAGCTGAGGCTGCGCTCCTCCTCCCCACAGCCCTGCTTGGGGAGTGGGTCGTGCAAACATTGTTCCTTCTCCTCGAGCCAGCACCTTCAAACCTGCAGAGGCAGCTGAAACTACATTCAGTTTCCTCTGAGGAGATTGTGCCACACAGCCCCCAGCAGAGCCACCAATTCCCACAGCTGTGCCGGGGTCGATCCCAAAGGATGGAGCCCACCTGGCCTCGCAATGCAGCATGGCTGCTGGGCCCTCCCCATGCTGGCACATGGGTCATCGCCCCCAGAGCTTTTTATTTCCTATCAGACTATGCTTACTGAAACCAACTCATGCTGACCCTTCTTTACAGGACAAGGTCATTATAGCACAAGTGCCAAAAGAGCGGGATGAAGACTGAACTAAGCCAGCACCACTCTCCACCTCCTCGCGCCCACGAGGTGTGCCGAGGGCAGAGCATCCCTCCCGCAGAACCTCGCACTCCATCCAGCCCACAGCTGCCCCACAGCACGCTCACTGCCCCATGTCTCACACCGCAGAGCAGCAGCAGGCAGCAGCCCTGGGGGCACAGCACGGCCGTTTCCACCACTACCTCCACACACGTGGGAACAGCACTGCTGTTTTTTGTAACATGAAGTTTCCACACCATATGGAGATGGCGTGATGTGTCCATGCATTGACACCCAGGGAGCAGGGGCTTCTTGCAGAACTGCCATCCTAGATGAGCAGGGTCCTGCTGGCTGCCCACTGCTCAGGTGGAAGGGTAAAGCATGCCACTGTGCAACCTCCAGGGTTTCCCAGTCCCAGGATTAAGTCCTGCAACCTAGCAGCTCCCAGGGCACAGGAGAGCCTGGGCAGCCAGGTAGGACTGCATGGGGCTGGGGAGGGTGGAGATGGTGGGACAGGAAACACTGTGCAGCACAGCTGCTGGCAGCCAACAGCCCCAACCCAGCCGCACAGGACAACCTTCAAGTGTTTCAAGGACTCTTCATACTTCACATTTCAGTTTCACAAGGAAATGAATAGCACTCCCAAGTCACAGGCTGGGCTCAGGGCCACATCATCCACTGCTGCAGCCAGGCCCTGGCACTCTTAAGCCCAGGATCACTCATTTTTTCCCCACAGCTTTAAAAACAATTTCATCCCCCTGCCCTTGGCAAGCCCGCCATGGAACTGCAACAGCAGACAAACCCGTTCAGCCTCTGCGAAGGCAAACGCCTCATTAACAAGCCTGCTCTCCTGAAACTTCCACAGCCTGGCTGAAGGGAACACAGCATACCACTGTTGTGGTTTGCAGCAGAAGCCTACCTTTCCTCTCATCCTGCTGCAGACAACTCTCCCTTCAGCTCTTTTCCACTTAGGATATGCCACAGAGCCATATCAAGCACAGGTATTAAAGCTCCACCACTGCTCCCACCCTGGCAGTGCACAACAGGAAGGTTAACAAGGACATACGGAGGGCTTTGGCTTCACATGAACGCCCCACTGTCTCTGCATCAGCCTTGATTTGTTCGATGCCAGAGATTCTACTCACCTCCGCACAAGATAAAAACAGAGTATTGATTTCATCTCTGGGCTGTAAGCCAAAGCTGCAGTGCTAATAGGCAGGAGCAGAAACAGAGCAGTGAAGACGCTGTGACAACACCAGCTGTTACCCTGCACGCTTCAGGTAGATCCGTAACGCTCCCAGATGAGCAAGGGTGCTAGGAGCACCAGTAACATCTAACCACAAAAATTTACAGCCAGCTGGTGAACACGAAGCAACCACCCTATGCAACTGAAGGGTATCAAACTTTATTATAGATCTCTTTAAAACAGGCTGGAAGGAACAAAAATGTCATTGCAATGCAGTGACTTAGTCATCATTTCAAATGCAGACACTGATCAAACCCCAACTCTCCCAAGTTATTTATAACATATCCCACCCTTCCCCAAAATTGCTCCAATCAAATGATCACATTTCAGACAACCCCAAGTGTCTTAACAATAGCTGCTTCTAAACACCAAGACGTACATGTTTTCTGGCAAATTAGATGCAGTATTTTTTTTTGTCGGGGGGCAGGAGGGAAGGTTTAGTTCATCAATCTCTGAAAAGGAGGAAGGAAAAAACAAAATCAGGACAATTGCTTCTTTAAGGTTGCCTTTTTACAGCAGGTACAGATTCTGCAGATTTCCCCCCCAAAGCAAGTCTGAAACCCTCTTGTTCAGCTTGGCAATATGAAGAGAGATTCCGGTGGTTAAGGAGAACCAGCCAGACGAGATCAGTCTGAGCAAACTGATTTCGAGGCTTTGTTGTCATTTCCCTTTGGGGCCAGTTTCGAGCGGTTTTCCAATATCCTTCCCACGCAGTTTAAGGCCTGGAGTAAGACAAAAGAGACAACCATCAGCTGCTGTGCACTCAATCATTCACAGCTTTAAAATCTTTGCTACAAAGGAGAGAGTGTCCAGAAAAGAAGGCAAGGAAATCAAATTGAGGAAGAATCATACTTCAGCTCACAGGAGCACGAGAAGTTACAAGAAAGGCTCCAGTTTGCTCACGCATTGACTGTGTTTCTGAAAAATGGTATCTGAACAGGAGCAGAAGAGCCACATCAACACTACTGGATGCAAGATACTTTCCTGAGTTAACATCAGACCTTCAAGCACCACAGCATATCATGAATTTTTAGAGGGGCCATATACAATGTGTGGGTATGTCCCAAGGGCACATATCTACACATAATATTGGAGAGAAAGGAGAATAAGAGCTTTGCATTCTTGTTTCAGTCAGCAGATACAAGCTTTTTATCAGCACACAGCTTAATGACACCACAGCCTCAATAACCTACAGTCAGGAGCAGGTGCTGACACGGAAGTATGAATAATTTAAAAGCACCGCTTAGACACTGGAAACATTGTTTGTGAAGTCTACTTTCTTGACTTACCAATGGCTCTTTCAATCTTGCCCATAACCTGGTTATTGGGAATTGCTCTTCCTGATTCGTAGTCAGCAATGACTTGTGGTTTTTCATTGATTTTCTAAAAAGAGATTATATGCCTCAATCATTGTCTCCACACAAAGTAAACACTCAGAACCAAACTCCCAGTACTCACACAGATAAGTAACAATCTCTAATTATGCCAGAGCATAATTAGATTAGGATCAGAGGACACAGCACCTACTTCTAGGCTTGCAGTGTGGTCAGTCTATCGCCTCCCTCCACAAACCAGGTGTCACAGTGATGGTGACACATGCTGGACAGACTTCTCTTAGCATCCCAGGAGGAAAATCACCAAGTACTAAAGCTCGTTAGTAAAGCAATGAGTTTCTGAACACAGTATCAGGCACGGAGAGTAGAAAAAAAACCTCACTGGTGCTCAGCCCATGGGAAGAGGAGCAGGGAGAAGCCTCCAGCTCATAGACAGTGACACTGCCTGGGCTCTAAGCAGATGTTCAAAGGCAGGAATGATTCCCTAAGTCTACACAACTAATTCTCCTGGAGATGAGACATCAGAGATGTTACGTTCACCAAACTTCATAGCACCCATGTGGAAACGGGAGAAAGTCTAACTTCAGCTGCCTTGAAGTGCCTGTATTCATCTCCAGACAGTGAGAGCAGAGGCCGGAGGGTGCTGGGCAATACTTACTGTGGCCAAGTCCTTCTGTGTCATGCCCTTGCTCTGTCGACCCTGCTGGATTACTTTGCCCACCTCTAGGGGAACTCTGTCATGGTGCAGCTCTTCTGTCTCTCGGTCGAGCTTGGCTGTGTTCTTTGTGATGAAGTGTTGTTTGTTTTGGCCTGCTGCCCCTATCATTCAAAGCGAGAACAGAAAAACACCAGAACAAACAAAACAAGGCTCAGAGCTGCACCAAGACGTATCAAAACACTCAGCTGCCCAGAATCCCAGGGAGCTTTCAAAGATTTATGCCAACATCAGCAGTGACCTCAACACTATCCTGCCTGCCGAAGGTCAGAGAATGTGTTATCTCAATCCTGTTAAATGCTGACATCTAAAGACAGTCATTCGAGGCCCTCCCTCTTCTTTACTGCAGCATCTGAGCATCACTCCATACAAGCAAATTTTTGCTATTACTTGGGGATTTTATGTTCTGATTTCATTCCATGCGTGCATGTTTTTGCTACGGCACAGGGGGATTTAATATTTGAACTCGAGCCTTGTTTGCTTACTTACAAGGCCGCTTCCACCCAAGTTTCTGACGCTACCGAGAAGCAAGCAGTAACACCGCGCAGCTCTGCTGGAAGCCAGCGGTTCAGAAATGCGCTGCTTGCTTTGTTACTTAACCACACCGCTGCGGTCAGTTTGAATCCCTTCTCTAACGCCTGGCGCTCAGTGCCGGGCCGTCCTGCCGCGTGCGTCTTTACAGCAGCGCGGGGAGCAGCTTCACAGTTCGCACCGGCCGGGAAGCGGGGGATTTTGGAGAGCTGCCCCGCGGGAGGCGGAGCAGCCACGGGGCTTCTTCTGCGCGCGCGGTCAGCAGGAGGCACAGCCGCCGCCCGCCTCCGGGATCCCGGGGCCGCGCCGTACTCACACTTCTTGGAGGTCTCCACGTCCTCGCCCCGCCGCTGCGCCGCCAGCACCGCCTGCGGGAGCGAAGGGCCGCGCTCAGCCGCCGCCGCTCGGGAGCCACCCGCGGGCAGCCGAGGCCCGGCCCCGCCCCGGCCCTTGCATCAGCCGAGCCGCGGCGCCCCCCGGGCCTCGACCGCGGCGACCCCCGGCGCCCCTCCGCGCCTCAGCCCCGGCCGGGCCGCCCCGCCGCCGCCCCGCTGACCTGCTTGGACTTGGCCTGGGCCGCGCTGGGGCCCTTCTTGCGCAGCACCGTCACCGTGTCCCAGTCGCTCTCCGCCATGACGCCGCCGCTGCTCGCCCCGCCCCCGCCTCGGTGCCGCGCCCGCCGCTCCGGCAGCGCCGCCCGCTGATTGGGCGCGGAACGGGCCTTGCCGCCCTCCCACCGGCCGCCTCGCTCTCCGATAGGTTTGTGCTCGCGCCCGTCAGGGAAGGCGACCTCTCCGGAGCGGGGGGCGGGACTAGAGGCTCCTTGCCGGACTTTGGCAGAACGAGGAATTCCTTGGCAGGTGTGACGCACTTCCTCTTCATAGGTACGGCGCACTGACAATCAACTTGCCTCCGGCTCTCATTGGCTAGTGTGCGCGGCGTGCTGAAGGCGGGCGCACACATCTTTGCATTTTGATAGGCTACTGTAACTGTCAATATGTCCGTGCCAATAAATGATTGGTCTGAAGCGTGGGGGCTGTCAGGATCGCTGATCAATAGCCGCGCCCAGTTGGACGGAACGGTGTTCCGTGTGCGGGTCGCGCATGCGCGAGGCGCCCTGCCGGCGCGTTGCCCCGCCCGCTTCTGTGCGCCGTCCCGCTCGGTGCCCGGCCGCCCCGGGATCTCGGTGCGGAAAGACCGACAGCCGAGGTCCCCTCTGGGGCGGCGTCTCGCGGCCTTTGTGTAACGCTGTGCCCAGCTTGGACACACGTGGCTGTTTGGGCCTCGGCCCTGCAAAGCGGCTCCTGCTGCTCGGAAGCCGTCGCGCCCGGTGCCCGGTTCTCCTCCCCGCTCCCGCCGCGGCCCCGCTGATGTCTGCGGGCGGCGGTGGCACTCGGACCTCCGTCAGGTCCGCGGCAGCAGCCGCGTGGCCCCGCGGCTCCCAGCTCACACCAGAGCTGCGCGCGCGTTCCGAGGGCCCGGCTTGGGCATCGTCGACCGCCTGGCTGCGGCCAAGCGGGATTTCCCAGCCCTGAGCGAATTCCCCTCGGGGTGAGAACGAGACCCGGTGCCCCGCCCGCACCGCGGGGCAGCGGAGCCCCAGCGCCCCCAGCTCTTCGGGCCGGCCGCGGCTTCCCGCGGGGCGCAGGCGGGGCACCGCTGCGCGGTCAGCGCCGCGGGGCTGGGCGCTGCGGAGGCGGCCGCTGCGTGAGCTCCGGCAGCGCCGAGTTCCCCTGCAGAAAGCACCTCGGCGTGACCTCACCGCCACGCGGCGGGCGCTCGTGTTTCCCCGTCGCCTCCCGGGACACGGAAACGCGCCCGGCCTCCGGCTGCCGCCGCGCCGTGTCGGTACGGGGCTGCGAGCCATGGCGCTGTGCGTGCAGGTAGGGCCGCGCTCGCTGCTGGGGCTCGGGGCTCGCCTGGGCGGTCCGGAGCCGCGGTGAGGGGGCAGCGGGGTGGGCGCGGGACGGCGGCCGAGCCGGGAGGCTCCTGGGGGCGGCGTGGGGGCACCGGGGCGGTGCCGGCTGCCGTGTCCCCAGGGAGCCCGGTCCTGGTGTGGGGCTGCCCGGGCCCAGGGGACAGCGCCGAGAACGTGGGCAGTGGGGTGCAGGTGTGGGTGGGGCCGGGGCTGGGTGACAGCGGGGAGGTTGCACTTTGGGGGGGGGGGGGGGGGGGGGGCAGGTGACTGCAGGGGGGGCGCGCCGGGGGGGCAACGGGGGGGGGGGCCGGGGGGGGGGGGGGGGGGGGGGGGGGGGGGGGGGGGGGCCCGGGGGGGGGGGGGGGGGGGGGGGGGGGGGGGGGGGGGGGGGGGGCAGGCGGTATCTTCATGGGAGGAGCGGCGGGGTGTGACCGTACCGGGTGTGGCCGTGCCGCCCCGCCCCCAGCCGCCCGTCGCCACGGGCGGGGCCGTTGCCGTTGCCGGGCGGTGGCGCAGCGCAGGGCGGGCCGCGCTCCACGTGTCCGGCGGGCGGGGCCTACGCGGGTTTCCGGTGCGGGGCGCGGACGGACGGGGCCGGTGAGTGCGGCGCCGCCGCCGGGCTGCCCTCGGGGGGCGGGGGAGCGGCGGGGGCTCGGGGCGGGCCGCGGGGCTCCGGCGGGGCGGGGCGGGGCGGGCAGCGGGAGGCGGGCTCCGGCGGGCTCTGCCCCGTGGGAACGCCCTCCGCCCCCCCTCCCGGCCCGGCCGCCTCGGAGATCGCCGCCGCCCTCGAGCGGCCGGGCCGCGGGGCCGGGTCGGCGCCTTCGGGTCGTTCCCCGGAGCTGCCGGCGGCGCGGGGCTCCCGGTCGCGGCGTTCCCCACGCGGAGCTGCGGGCGCTGAGCCGGGCCGGGTTCGTTTGCCGGCGCTCCGCGATAGCGAGGCGTTGCCGCCCTCCAGGTATAACCAAACAGGGAACGTATTTTTATTTCCAGGCTCTGGGTGTACAGCCGGAATTTTTTGTTCCCATGGCAGCAGCAAATTCGACTCCGCCCGGCTCTCTGGACCTGAACCAGCCCGGGTTTGCGAAGGAGATCCTGGGAACTAAGCTGGAGGTGAAGTACCTCTGCTCGGACTGCAGGAACATACTGAGGCGGCCCTTCCAGGCTCAGTGCGGGCATCGCTACTGCTCCTATTGCTTGAAGAAAATTATAAGGTAAATTTGTGCCTTCAGCCTTCAAATGAGGCTTAGGAGCGAGCAGAAGAGATGAAGGAGCTGGGGGACCGCTGAGGGAAGGAGCAGTGTGTAACCTCTGAGGTTCAGCATCGGGGATGTGTGATGTCTGATGTGCCTTTATTCCTCTGTGGGTTTCCTCAGTTTGCTCCTGGACTGATGGGTGCCTCTTATGCCCAGATGTGAGGCACGTGGTTCAGAGGATTCACTTCTTTTCCCTCTCGTTATTGCCTTCAAGTGGAGCTGAGGAGAGCAGTGACTCACGAGGCGAATAAAAAGCCCCTAATAGCAGAAACGGGTACCCAAACTACAGCTGAGCAAAGGCTCAGCGGGTTGTCTCAAGGATAAGAAAATCACTGTACTAAGTTATTAGAAGCCAATTATTTCATAGATTGGGTGTTTGATTATTGTTTTTGTGTCTGCTAGTTCTGGACCTCAAAAGTGTGCGAGCTGCATTCAAGAAGGAATATATGAAGAAGGAGTTTCTATTTTGGAAACCAGCTCTGTAAGTAAAAATGCATCAAAAAGAAAAAGGTCCCTGTTGTTAGTGCTACCTGTAGCTTTCCTTTAAAACACAAGACTTTTGGGAAATTCTTTGGAAATATTCTGTTGAGCAGTGAGAGTCACAATTAATGAGGTGAACTCCCGAATTTGTAAAATCCAGGTCGTGGGAATATAGCAGTGACCTACTTAAGTACTATAATAAAGATCTGTTTGCCATTAGCACACCTCTGAGGATGTGGCAACTGGCACGGGGAGGAGTCCTTTCTTTATTTGTTTTACATTTTTGTTAAGAATGATTAATAAAGAACGAAGAGGCCGGACCGTGTTTGCACCCCTCAGTGACTTCTTTGCTCTTTTGCCTTTTCCACTGCAGGCTTTCCCAGACAACGCAGCTCGACGGGAGGTGGAAAGTCTGCCTGCTGTCTGCATTAACGAGGGCTGCACGTGGAAGGGGACTATTAAAGAATATGAGGTAAATCTCAAAGGAGGGCTTTTGGTATCTGCACACTTTTTCTTTCCTCTGTGTGCCAACAGGAGAGGTTCGGGGGGGGATTTGCTTTCTTCTGAAGCTGGCAGTGATGGTGGGAGCTTTCAACTCTGCTTTGCTGTAAACAAAGCCCTCTGGGAGCTGCAGAGATTTCCTCACAGAGCTGGGTTTGTGCGTCCTGCTGAGGGCATGGGCTGAACTGGAAGAATTTCCTTAACATCTCGGGCTCCGATCTCTTCACTTCCACAACAAGAACCACTTGTTCTACCTCTAATTGCTTTCTGCCCAAAGAGATGAGGAAACTGTCAAGGAACTGTGCCTTACAGCGAGATTGTTGTTAAGTTTGCTGTGCTGTGTGAGCCTGCAGTCTATTTCTGAGCTGTGAGCTTGGGGCAGGCAGCCTGTCCATCCACAGTCCTGTTTTCAGCCAGCTGCAGGGCCAAGTAGCACCTGCAGAAAGAGGGCAGGGGATTTGGGTGTCATTTGCTGGCTCAGCACACATCGCTCTGAATAGCTCTGTGCCACCAGGATGTTTTCTGCTCATCTTTGGAAAGGTTTCCATCTGCCCTTCCTGCTCCAGGCCTTTGGACTTTAGCATGCGTACAGCTATTGTGCTTCATGTGAAGTGTTCTGGGGACTGCAGCGAGCCACTTGCTTCCCTGTGCCTTCCTACAGGTCAGCTCTGCTGTGCAGAAAGCATCGTTAAAATGTGTTGGCAGTTGGGAGCAATGTTTGCCCACCTGTGAAGTTCTGCTGCTCCTGAAGGATCATATTGTCGTCCATAATGGGATGGATGAACCATTACACAAAGGGCCCCAAATAAAAGGAATAAACCTTTTTTCCCCCAGTACTATCCCTTGATAAAGGCTGTTGCCCAGTTGTTCACCAGGCTGAGATGTGTGTCAGGAAGGAGTTTCAGCTGTGGATTCTCTTGCCAATGCCACTGCAGGATGGCAGGAAGAGACAGAGTGGCCGTGGGTCACTGAGCTCCTGCCCACAGCTGTGCTGCTGCTGTGCTTCCCTGCCCTCCTGCCTGGAGCTTCCAGCTTCTTCGCACTGGCACATTCTGAAAGATAAGTGGGTATAGGATGCTAAGAGCATCTCCTGCTTCAAAAGTCTTCTTCTTAGATCTCTAAGTAGCATGTGGTGTGGATGCATATGCCTGGACAAATCTGAAGTTAAAAGCTTGATGCCAATACAGCACAGATCGGCGAGGAGCCTCATTGCAGAGTGCGATATTTTGCTGAGATTTGTGATCCAAGCCATTGTGCTGGTGTGTGTGCAGGCCTTGTCCTGTGCTGTAATTGTGCTGGTGACCTGCTCCTTATGGCACAGAGGTCTCGTGCCTGCTGCAGTGCTCTGAATGCCAATTGTAGTGAGCAAGCTTATCTCCATCAGCCTGAGCCAAATGAGGTTTGTCAGCAGCTTACCATGCTCATGTCAGGGTGCTGTGGCTGAGGCACTCTTCTGGACTCTTTCTCCTGGATTAAAGAAGTCCTGATGAGCGGCTCCTGCAGGGCTCAGCACAAGTTGTCATGTGCCAAAGGTCCACTCTGTGTCTGAGAAGCCTCTCAGGGCAGCAGGCTGCCCTGCAATGGGTCTCCCATTGGGTGCACATTGTGGTGCTTTGGGTTCTTGTGCACGGCTTCCAGAGCTCTTGGAGTGATGAGGTGCTGGGAGGCAATGCATGGGGCTGAGGGCCCACGTGAGGGAAGGAGAGGCGGGCTAAGTGCTAACGCAGTGCTCTGTGCAGTGTTTGGCTGTCAGCAGTGCCCCACGGGCTCATAGCTCAGTGTGATGATGGTGGCACAGCTTAACTTTGCAGTTTGCCCTCTGCTGTTGCTCTGCAGGCAGCAGTGTGTATCGGCGTGCGTAACGTCCTGCGGCAGCAGTGCTCCTGTGATGGAAAGTCCCTTGCTGTGCTATTTCCGACAGGACATGGAAAGTCCCTCCAAGCTAATTCATTGTTTGCTCATTTAAGACTTGTGCAGCATTGGTACTGAGAGACTGATTTGGCTGCTCTCCGCTTATAAATCAAGAGATACTGTCGCTTTTGGTTTGCTAACGTTATCAGGGTACGAGTGAGAAAAAAATGTCCTGCAGCTGCCAAGCTCTACGAGAAAACAAGGACAAAGTTAAACTCAGTTTTGCTTTCTGTTCAAGCCCCAGGAGTTCACGTCTCATGGAGACATACAGAACCGAAAGAGTGAAATCTGCTCAGACATGACTTGCAGTTCTGCTTAGAGTTGTGCAAAGCGCACGATGTGTAAGCGCTCAGAACATGCCTGACTTTATAAGTGCATTTTTCTGACTGTTGGATGCAGTTGTAAATATTTAGTCGCGTTCAGCTAAAGTGTTTTGTGGTGGGGCTGGCGGGGGTTTTCCTTTTAATCTGCACCCCCTTTTCAGATCTAGGTTTCCTGATAATCAGTCTGAACGTACGTACAGGAAGGCGAGCTGTGGGCAGGGGCCTTTAGGTGCAGGTGGAAAATCTGAGCAGGGGCAGAGAAACTAAAACAATCCCCTGAGAGCAAAAGGAAAGACTAAGAAAGCATGTCCCGTGGTGTCCAGGAGCTTGGGGGAGTAATGCAAATATTTATGCTGGGTCTGCCCAACAAGTTCTGTGTGAAGGAGAGCTCTGTTTTAAGCTTAATCATGATGGCAGTATTTAAAACTGATTTGCTGTCAGCCATGGTGATAACCTGTCCTAATTCAAGTCAGAGAGGGCACTTTGGTTCTGCGTGATCCTTCTGCCCTGGGCTCTGCAGCAACATGGGAGGTGGTGAAGCATCCCCACTGCCCTCTGTGTAGGAAGAGCTGCTCCTCTCCAGGAATGTGGTTGGGACCCTGAGCAGTGTTTCACTGCTGGATGGCCTCAGCTGTGTCCCTGAGAGTGCCCTGGTAGCTCTTGGTGGTGGCTTTCAGCCTCAGGCTGCAGTTTGGAGCAGAGCTGCTGGTCTTGGAAATACTCACCTGGTTCCTGTTGCCTCTGAAACGTGCTGTCAGATATTTTAAAGCAGCATTACTAGCATAGATGCAGCCTTCTTAGAGTTGTGGCAAGAGCACTTGATGACTGTACCAGAGCAACCAGAGTTCCTTATAGAATCAGAGATTGGAAGATTTTGGCTCCGGGTTGCAACATGGTGTTCAGTGTTGTTTGCAGGTGGCTGATGGGGACCGGATTGCTTCTTCCCAGGAGGCCCCACATGCTGCAGTACCCCATGGTAGCACGTAGGGGTGTCCTGTTGCAGGAGAAGGGACGTGATGTGCCTTTGCTCGCAGGAGCTGAAGCCCACAAACAGTGCCTGCCTGTGGGGAGCAGCAGTGGCTGGCAGCTCCGTCCAGGCTGTGCGGTGGGAGGTGAGCATGGGGAGCACCAGGCACGTGGGAGGGGCTGGAAAGCCCCACCAGCCACGATGTGCTCACAGCACACTGCTGGGAGCCGCTCAGCCTCATTGCGGTGGCCCACCTTGTTCGCAGGCTTAGCTCGAGCCTTTGAAGACCAAGAGCTGCACCTGGCTGACTTCGAAGCTTGGAGGGAGCGACGAGTCCCATTAAAGCCTGTGTGAAAACCCTTGGAAGCCTCTGTGCACGGGCTGTTGGCATTTTGGGGCAGCACTTCAGTGCCAGCTAGGAATTCCTTGGATTCCAGAGATCAGGCGAGTGCCAGAGCCCCAATCACACACACCCTTCTTTAAAAGATAAAGAGATTCTATCAGCTCTTTGGACAAAGCAAAGCAATTGGGCTTGAGATCAAGCTGCTCACCGCTTGTTTGCCTTTTCCATTTTGCAAAATCAGTCCTTCTCCACGTGCCTGTGCAGTTCTTGGCCTCGTGCTGCAGGCGTCCTTCTGCTGGGCACAGCCTCAGCTGAGGGCACAGGACAGCCTGCCCTCCTCTGCCCATCCCCTGCCTCAGCATTGCCCTTGCTCTGTGCTTGGTGTCTGAGGTTTCAGCCAGGTGCTCGTTTTGGTGCAAGAGATCCAGCTGTGTGTGCTGCTGGAGATGTTGCTTGGAGCAATGGTGTCTGACCTGTTGGCATGGCTGGGCTGTACTGAGTGAAGAGATGTTGTCTTGGCAGCACGTATATAGGTTGCTCTGAAAGTAATGCCTCCTTTGTGTTTCCATGGAAGCTGCAGCAAAGACAACGAGCACAGTAAAGCTGTTTGGTGGAGTGAATTCTCAGCTACGAAATGCTGTTTTTCAGCATAGTCACTACCATTAGCTCCCTGCATTTTCATCAGTGATGAACAAACCCACACCAGCAGAGGTGACCACTGTCACTGTCACCACTGCTGAAATGAATCCACCCCTCACTGTGCTCACATCCACTCTTTGGTCTCCATCAGTGTTCACAAGCATCAATGAATGGCATTCACTGGCATTTTTTCTGCATGGAGGAATTCAATTCCACATGTTTGCTCCATACACACTCCCATGTCATGCACCATTCTGTCACACTGCCCCTCTGCTGCCATCTGTCACACAGCAACAACACAACAGGATATTGGTGGGAAGGTTTGGCCTCAGCTGCCATCCCACCAGTGTCTGTTTCTGGTGCCAACAACATAAAACAGGAGGCAATGCTTTCAGAGCAGCCCTTGTAAAGTACATAATATAGTAACATAAGTAACAAAGCATTTTAATTTTTAATATATTTGTCATTAAAACATAAAAAGGAGAGCAATGAAGCTGTGTCATGGGCTGGATGTGCCCTCTCAGAGGAAGGGAGAGCTCTGCAGCAGCAGAGCCCTGAGGGCTGCTTGGGGTGTTGGGTGGTGTGCATGGAACAGAGCAGGCTTTCCTGCTGCTAGTGCCTGGCAGTGTTGGGCTGTCAGGACCGCACAGCAGTGGTGAGTTCAGATGCTATGAATCGTGCAGGTGCCCGGCATCACTGGCAGGACAGTGTGATAGGGCTGTGTGCCCAGTGACAGCTTGTTCTGAGGCCGTGACCTTGGTTGATGTGGGCAGCACCTCTTGGGGCTTTGCCAAGTGGCTGCCTGGTAACTGGGAGCTGGCCCCATGGTGTTATCTCTGTTTGCAGTTCCTTTGAACCTCCTGCTTATCGAGCAGCAGTTTACCACGACTCATTAGAGCCCACTATGGTCAGACTGAATTTCCTTGGCAAGCAGATTTGGTTGTCTGTGTGGATGGAGCAGCTCCCACCCAGCAGGGAGCTCGGGCTGCTCCAACTGAGACCTGAGTTCTCCTGGCAAAACCCATCCTCTGGGCTGGTGGGGATTGCAAAAGAAGAAACTGGAGAAAGCACCCATGGGTGCCCTGCAGCATTGTGTTACTCAAGCAATAGGAAAGGCAGAGTCCATCCCAGGAAATGGTAGAAGCGCTGCTGCTGCTTTCAGTGTTTCTCATTGTGCCGGCCCTCCCCAGATCCCACTGCTGCCTCTTGAGCTGCTTTGTTGTCAGAAACACCGCCTCGAATTTTTTCTACCTCTGGATACCAAATCAAACATCTGTCTCATCAGTCCAAAAAGCTGATTAATGAAACCATAGAATGCCGAAAGCAGAAGTTCTGCAGCAGAGGTCCTCGTTCTGCAAACAGAAGTGAGGGAGGCCCTGTGAAAGCCATAACATCACCTCTGCCAACTTCTGTGCTGCACTCCAGCAAGCACTGTGCGGGCAGCCATGGTTTCCATGCCCTGGGGTGTGCCCGGCCACAGCTCTGAGCAGTGAGTGGTGGCTGATCTGCACACCAGCTGTAGGTTCAGCAGTTTTTGAGGCTGAATTAGCTCTGCTGCGGTGTCTGTGCTGGCAGTGTCATAGCTCTGGCCGTGCTCTGTGTGCCAGTCCCCGTCCAGCTGTTTCACCTTTGCCTTCCTGCAAGTTTTCCTTCCTCTTAGCTGCTCCCTCTCTGCTGCCACCCCCTTTGGCTTTGTGCATGTCTTGTTTCCATGCTCGGAGCACTTTCCAACAGAAACCTGCACCCCTGGCATGCTGTGTGGAGCACTGCAGGGTGCAGCCCAGCCTGTGCTGTGTGCAGATAACCAGGGGCTCGCAGCAAAGTGCTGCTGGCTGTTCTCAGCTGCCTGCCTTGTCCCCAGCATTGTGTCGTGCTGATGGATTTCCCAACATAGTTGAGAAACCTTCTTGGAATAGATGTGCATTCATGCCATGTTCGGAGCAGGCAGCTGGGGGCAAGGACAAATCCTGTTCCACCATCACAACATGGGGTTGGTGACTTTCAGCAGTAGTTCAAGTCAAGTTCAGTATAGCTTTGGATGCCTGGAGCAGCAATCGGATTAAACTGCAGTTTTCCCTTTTGTCTCATTTACGCAGGCCCGGCAGAGCAGCTCCTCCTGGCATTCCTTAGCAGATGATCATTCCAGCTCTGGGGATCAGCTGCTGTTGCTAAGCCCAGCTTCTCTGCCCGTGTGTGTCTGCTTTTCTGTCCGGCTGTACTGAACTGTGCTGCTCTCCCTGTCACAGAGCTGCCATGAGGGGAACTGCCCGTTCCTGCTGATTGAGTGCCAGGCATGCAGAGGTGTGATCCCTCTGAATGAGAAGGAGCGCCACTCTGAGCGGGAGTGCCCTGAGAGAACCCTCAACTGCAAATACTGCAAATCACTTTTCTACTTCCCAGATATTAAGGTACGAGAGTTATATCCTGCACACCGCAGGCTGCTGCGGGACCTGGAGGTGAGGGGAGGAGTGCTGGGTGCCTCCGCTGCAGCCGTCGTGCTGTGCTGCAGTGGTTGACCACGAGTGTGGGGCTGTCCTGGCCCTGGGAGGCTGCTGGAGGCCGCTTTCCCAGCCGCTCAGCTCCTGCAGAATTGCCCGTCCTTGCAGGGTGCAGCCGATGTGCTGTGCAGCAGCGCTGCTGGAATGCTTTGTTTTCAGGGACGGCGGTCGATCTGTGAGATCAGCTGATGGCTTTGGTGTTGCTGAGCGGGAAGGAAGAGGTGTTGCTGTGGAGGCTGAGTTCTGCCCACGTTTGTTTTTCTCCCGCTGCAAGCAGCTGAGCTGCTGCAGTTGGTGCTGAGGTAGCAGGGGACAGTCTGACTTGGGCTGTGCTCTTCCTGCTCTAATTCCTTTATTGCTGTCTCCTCCCTCCTTCCTCCGTCTAACTTTGAACAAATTCACTGCAGGAGAGCGACCTGCTCTTACCTGGCACAGTGGCATCAGTGGCTTTCCAATGCTGCTTGTGGCTGGTGCCAGGCATCAGAGCTGCCTATCTGCAGCTGTGGGTTTGGGAGAGCTGTGGCAGGAGGATTGCCTCATCCCTGGGTGGCAGAGTGCTGCAGATCAGGATCGTGTGCCTGCCCCAGCTGCTGGGCAGGGTGAGTTTCGGCAGACAGCATTCCTGAGTGATGCAGCACCCACACAGAGTGGGCAGGGGCAGAAGTCGGGGTTCTGGAGTTGCCCCACACTGTTGATATTCAAATGTCCTATGAGCCAGGAGGTTTGGGTCTCTGCTGGTCGGAGCTCACATTGCTGAGCGGCACTTGGAGCCATGCAGGGCTGTTCTGCAGTGCTTGGCTGTGAGCTCAGCACCCACAGCGCTGTGTGTGGTGGGGAGGTGCCAGCACAGAGAGGAGCACTGCGAGGTGGGAAGCTGCAAACGACCAGGTGGTGATTTCACACATCGCTGTAGGTGCAGGAGAAGTGCAAAATCCCCTCTTTCAAGTGGCTGTATCTGCAGTGGCTCCTGCTTCAGCCAGAGCACAGCATCTGTTGCTGTGCCAGCACTCTGTGGGACAGTTGTTGTCTGATGCTATAGAACCAGAGAACAGCTGGAGGAAAGGGCTCAGCCCCTCTGCAGGCTGCCTCTGCCTACCAAGGGGACCAGGGGGTGGCTGCTCAGGGACAGCACTGTGAGCCTTTGGCTTCGCCTGCTCATCTCAAGTATGAAAAGGAGAGAGTTCCCAGCATGCCAACCTGAGCCACTTGTGGGTTTCACTTTCCAGTTTGTGATGTGGTAAGATAACAGCTTGCACGTGTCCCCCCTCCCAGAGGCAGTGACTTGTTTTAATACAGGTAAATGTGAACAGGTTTTCAAGGCATCTGGTTTCAGACAGCTCAGCTGCTTTGTAAATATGTCATTATTTTTTTCTGTTGCTGCCAGAAGGGTGTTGTTAAACACACTTCTCTTCTAGCCTCAATTTTGATCTGCCTGTTAATGGAATTTGCAGTGGTGCATCGAAGCTTGTGTAAGCTTGGACAGAAAAGTGAGAGGTGATTTCTGGATCCCTCATTACAGAAGCCAAATATTGGTTGTTCCAGTGGGTTGGTGCACAAGGAGATGGGTTTGAGCTGTGTGGAAGCGGCACGGAGCACAGCAGTGCTCCAGCAGTGCCCATTGAGCAGTGGGTGCTGTGGACAGAGTGTGGCACTGCTGTGATCCTTGTCATGACATGGGATGCATGGGGTGGTTTTAAATGATTTCCCTTTCTGGCTGAAAAATGCATTTGTGTTGAACTGATCCCAAAAATTTACACCCGTGGCCTTGCTGAGATGCTGCCCCAATGCACCTTTTCTGTGCAAAGCCGTGCATGGAGTTGTTTATTCATCAAAGCTGTTATCTCTCTTTTTTTTTCCCTTTAAAATGTTATAGCAGCTCTTTAAATCAAGGCTGAGGCTCGCTTGGCTGCGTACGTGCCCAAAGCACTGGCAGCCTGGAGGTCACAGAACTGAGCCAGCACAGAGAGTTCTGAGCGCACCAAAGCCTCCTGTCTGTTCTTTTACAGGCTCACGATGAGGTCTGCCCAAAATTTCCATTGACTTGTGATGGCTGCGGGAAGAAGAAGATCCCCAGAGAGAAGGTATGTGGCAGCAAAGCTCGGGGGAGCTCAGAGCATCCAGGAGCAGAGTGGGGGAGCAGTGAGGTGGCAGCCCATGTGCACACGTGGCTTTTCCATGAGGCTGAACATAGAGGTGGGAAGTCAGAGACGGGGATGTTTCCTCATCAAAAAGATGACTAAAGAGCTCTTCAAAAAGCCAGCATAAGGAGGGACTTTGTGCTGTGGGCTCTGGGTATGCTGGATCCCAGCAGTGGGTGGGCTCACACCACTGGGATTCCGGTGGCTGTTCTGTCCATTAACTGCTGCTCGGATCTCTCCCCTGCAGTGTGGGACTGGGCAACCTGGGGCTGCGCCTGGAAGTTTTTCAAAAAGCAGTTTAAAAACTGTTTTGACATCTGTTGCAGCAGATGTGGGTGTTCAGTGGGCTGCTCACAACAGACCACTGATACCTGACAGTGGGAGGCATGGTGAAAGCAAGATGGCAGCGTGCCAGTGCTGCTTAGCACTGATCATACACTGCATGGGAATCCAGACGAGTCATCTCAGAGACCGGTGGGTTATTGGCACTGCTCTGCAGAGCTCCAGCCTCGGCCTCCATGCTTCAGGGCAGCTGCCAGCTGTGAGCAGGCTGAGGTACAGGCCTGCCAGCGGTTAGCATTGGTTTGAGGCTGTTCTTCAATCTGTCTTTGGGCTCCCAGACCTCAGTGAGCTGGAGAGGGAGTGACCTGTGTGACATAAGACCTGTTTGGCGTTATCTTCTTTCTCTTCTAGTTTCAGGACCACGTGAAGAATTGTGGCAAATGTAAAGTGCCATGCAGATTCGAAGCTGTTGGCTGTGCTGAGATGGTAAGGGTTATCTGCTCTTGTCTGTCTTGTTTTCAGTTCCAGTGTTAGCTATGACCTGCAGATGTCTGTAGCCCAACCTGTTGTAGGTGCTGGTGCTCAGCTATCACAGCGGAGTGGTGTTTTAGACCCTTTGTAAATGCCACTTGACATTATGTACTGCCCAGATTTTGGATACCAGAGAATGAGCAATGCAGAAGGACTGCATTGAGAACTGCAGCAAATGCTTTGAGGCTCCAAGTGGTTCCAATGCTGACAGCTGTCAGCGTGGACCTGGGCATCCCACAGCTTGTTCCACTGCCAGAGACGGGGCAGGGCAGTATTTCTATGTGACGTGGTTTTCTCAGCTCTTACTGGTGATGTCAGTGTAAATCCCTTCTCAGGAGGATTATGTGAGGCTTTGTCCTTTGGTGCTGTTAGGTCAGTCTGACAGAGCCCTTCTGCAAAGGGCTGGAAGAGGGCAGAGTAGGACAGTGTGTGCAGCTGAGGGAACATTAAGCATCCGTCACTGTATATGATCACAGCTTTTCTGTAATAAAACAAAAACACCAACAAAATCCACATTTTTTAAACTGTTTTTTCTTTGATTTTTTTTTCCCTTTATAATTTGAAGCTAACATTGTGGCCTCGAGAGGAGGACAATTTTCTGTGGATGGTGACAGCTTGAGCTTGCTGAATGGGATATATTTCTCTTCATGTAGGTGGAAAATGAAAAGCTACCAGAACATGAAAGCAAGTGTCTGGCAGAGCATCTATACATGCTGCTGAGTTTTGTGCTCAGCCTCAAGAGTGGATCTGGAGGCCTGAAGCACCTTCCTGCCCTTCCCTCATCGCAGAGCAGCTCCCCACTGCTGGCAGCAAACTCCCTGTGCCCAGAGTCGGAGCTCTTCAAGTCCCTGGAGCTCTTGGGAAGGTGTGACGCCCTGGAGAAGAAAACAGTGACCTTTGAGAACATTGTCTGCGTGCTCAATAGAGAGGTAGAAAGGGTATCTCTGACAGCAGAAGCGTACAGCCGGCAGCACCGATTAGACCAGGAGCAGATCGAGACACTGAGTAACAAGGTGTGCAGTCCTGTGCTCTGAGCAGAGCCTCCTGTCAGCTTCCTTTCTGTGTTGTAGCAAAGCTCCACCTGTGTCTTGTCTCTCCCCAAATCTGAAGGTAGCACTAAGATACCATTTGTGACTATGCCCAACCTGGAAAGCTTCCAGGAAAAGATGGGAATTGAATTGACCTAAAGCAAATGCTTTGGGGTCTCTGTTAGTAATGAAGTGATGCACGCACTGTTCTTAGGTGAAGTCCTGCAGCTGGACAGGGAGGAGCTGGCATCGCACTGAATCTCTTTGCATTCCCAGCCACTCGTTGTAGAAGTGTGATGGTGGGGGCTCAGCCTGAGAGGAGGAGCTCTCCCAGCTCTGTGTTCCAGCATGGTGCCCTTACATCTGGGGCCCTGGGAATTGTGCGCTTTGTAGTTTCTGTGCTCTCTCCATATAGCATCTCTCAATACAGATGTAACCTGCTGCCTCACAGCAACAAACTTGGTTGGCTGTGTATAGGTCCTTCTGCTTCTCAATCTACTTTTGTCACAAAGGTGACTTTCTTTTCTTTTTCCCCCAACCTCACCCCTTGTTCTGCCACACAATGAAAGTGCTCATGGAGAGAGGTTTTCCATTCACACAGGCTCAGACTCTGAGTTGTATTAGTGTGTGTTCTCCAGAACGGTGGGGTTCCAAAGGAGGTTGTGGTGGGATTGCCTTGCCTTCCTGCTTTTCTACCGCTGGCCCTTTGCTCACTGCAGTGTCTGACCAGCTGCGCCGTCTGTCCCACTGAGCAGGTTCGGCAGCTGGAAAGGAGCATTGGCCTGAAAGACCTGGCCATGGCTGAGATGGAGGAAAAGATCCGCAACATGGAAGCTTCCACCTACGACGGTGTTTTCATCTGGAAGATAACAGAATTTGCCAGGAAGCGCCAGGAGGCGATCACGGGCCGCTCTCCTGCAATCTTCTCTCCAGGTTATTGCCCCAAAATAGAAAAAGCCTTTTTGTGCCTCACCTGGCTGTGGGGTTTGTAACAATGACCTTAGCATGTGGAATGCATGGCTGCTCTGCTGGGCTTCTGGTCTTCTCTCTTTCCCGGGGAAATCTGAACCATCTTCTGATTTGTTCTGTGTGCATAAGAAGCATTGGGCTGAATGAAGGTGCTCTGCTGGGGGAGGTGCTTTCTGCATTGTAGAAGACGTTTTCATTTCTCAGTGGAAAATGCAGCTGTCTTGGCTTCGGAATTGCTCTTCATGGCACTTTTAGAAACTGGCCAGAGCTGCATGTGAGCTGGGGGCGTAGATGCTGCACTGCTTCCTGGTGTAATGAAAAACCAGATTGTTGCTGGGCCAGGAGATAAAAGCAGTGGCACTTTTAAAACTATTGCTAACTGTTTCCTGGGTGAAAGCTGTCTGGAGTGCTTTTGCTAATGAAAACCTGAAAGCAAAAAGGATTCCCCCTTCTTGAAGAGAACTAAACTGCCACTGAAATTGTGCGTGCAATTAGCATTTCCTTCACAAAGTCAGTGACAGCTGTGGAAAACCCCTGGTCTCTGTCCTGTTCTAGAAAGGCGGCACTTCCTTCCTTCTCAGAGCAACTAAATCGAGTTCAGATCTGTTTTGTTTGGCTCAGAGGTAGGACCTTAACTCCTGCGCCCCATTTCCTGCCCAGCACTCAGGAGTTTCTTGACCTCAGCACCTCCTGAGGCTGCAGTTTTGGGTCAGAGCCCAGAGTGAGGTGGCAGCTCCTGGGCCCTGCTGTTCCCTGTGCCCTCAAGGAGCTCATACTGCAGTGCCTTCACTGGGGGACCCACCTTGTGTCTGAAGTCAAGACCAAGTCAGCTCCTGGAGGGGCATGAGCAGGCAGCTGGAGAGAAGGGAAGGTTGCCTCTGCCTGGCACACTAGGATGTCTATGGAAGGGGCAGGGCTGTCTTTTCTTTTCCATCTTGCAAGAGTAGGGCTGCACACCTTTCTTCCTGCAGTAGTTGATTGTGCTGCTTAGATGAGGAGTTTCCATCCCATGTGCTGAAGAACTGGGCTGAGAAGCAAATGCTATGTTTGGTTTAGAAAAAAGTCGTTATGGAAGTGGTTTTCCCTCTTACAAAGCAAAATGGGCAGATGGGGATTGTTCAGATTGGGAAGGAGACAGCTGGGAACAAAGAGGGGTGGGTTGGGAAAGGAAAATGAGTACAGTTGTTGGGTTTGCATTAAAATGCAGGAGCAGAGAGATAGCAGCTAAAATCCTTTGTAAAGCAAATAAAAGGAAGTTACCGCCCAGTTGCTTTGTCAGGAGGCGGCTGCTCTGCTATGGCCCTATGGGGCTGCACCCCTCCCTGCAGCTCTGGGGTGCTGGGAAATGAGGGGCATTCAGTGTTTGTGTGCCCTCCTCCCCCCACTGCTCTGTAAAACCCCAACCTGGATTATTCTGGGGTCCCAACTGTAGAGTCTTTGGAGGATGCTTGGTGCCAGGCTCCGCACTTTCTGACCCATGCTGTGTTTGTTAACAGCCTTCTACACAAGCAAGTATGGCTACAAGATGTGTCTGCGTGTTTACCTCAATGGCGACGGCACCGGGCGTGGGACCCATCTGTCCCTGTTCTTTGTGGTGATGAAAGGACCCAACGACGCGCTCCTGCGCTGGCCCTTTAACCAGAAGGTGGGTTTGGGTCGGAGCCCCCAGCATGGCCTGCGGCCACAGCTGCTCCGGGGCTGAAAGCATCCCATCCTGTGGGCAGGATTTGAGGAACAACGAGGGCTGCAGGACAGCGTGCTGGAGAGAGCAGAGCTGTACTGCTGCCACGGGGCCAACCCACCTCTGTGTGCTACGCTGCCTGCAGCTGGTGCTTGCACAGCATCACCCGTTCAGATTTCAGCTTCTGGGCTTTGCAAAATGCCTAAGGCTGAGCGTTCTGCCCTGTTCTTGGTGGGATGGGAGCTTTCTGAGACCTAAGCAGATAGCCGTGTGGGAGGCAGGAGCTCCGTGCCTGCTGTAGGACTGCTCAGTTTGTGACTGTTCTGCCACCCAGGGGTTTCCAGTGACTGGGTGACATTCCGTGCTGCCCCTGGCTGCGGGTGTCTCCCTGATCTGTGGACGTGCGGTGTTACATTTCTGTGTGTGTGTTTCACAGCCCCAGTGAGTGAGCCGCCGAGATGGGCTCCTCTGTCCTTTCCCTTCAGCTGTTCTTGTGTATTCTCACACATCCCACAGGTGACCCTGATGCTCCTGGATCAGAACAACCGGGAGCACATCATCGATGCGTTCCGACCCGACGTGACCTCCTCCTCCTTCCAGCGCCCGGTCACAGAAATGAACATTGCCAGCGGCTGCCCACTGTTCTGCCCTGTCTCCGTAATGGAAGCCAAGAACTCCTACGTCCGCGATGATGCCATCTTCATTAAAGCCATCGTTGACCTCTCAGGCCTTTAACTCAGCACAGAGCAGGGAATGCAGAGCCAGCCCCTGGGCACTGCCCTGCAGGCAGGTCTTGGAGCAAGGAGGGGCGGAAGTGTGGACGTGGCCCTTCCCCAAAAGGGACCTTCTTAGTGCTGAGTGGAAACAAGGTGTCTGATGGGAGTCCTCTTCCCTGGCATCAGAGAGACCTTTCCAGAGAAGACGGGGTGGACGTTGGCAGGCTGTGTGGTGCAGGGATTCCTGCAGGGACTCAGATGTCTGAACCGCCGTGCTCCAGTTTTCCAGGGGCAGTGAGCACAGCTTGCCCAGCTGCTTCAGCACGGGGCCTCAGAGCTCTGTGGTGAGGCAGGGCTTTGGCCCCCCCAGCACTGCAGGCAGCTGCGTGTCCTGGGAGCAGGGCTGTCCCGAGGAGCACCGCTGGGCCACGTGCTGTGCTCCACTGTTGGCGGAGTGCCCTGCATGCTGCGGGACTGCTGCCTCTGCTGTCTGCAGAGAGGAGGCACAGGGGAGCCCTGTGTCCCTGTGGCTGTGTTTTTGGTCAGGTGTGCTCAGGGCAGGTTGGGCTGGCAGTGCTGGCTGCTTGGTATATAGGGGGCTGCAGCAGGGCTGCCTGTGGCGGAAGATAGAAATGCCTGTCCCCTGAAATCTGGGCTCATGTGCTGAGGGGGCTGTGTAGCCAGAGCAGCGGGCTCTGGCAGCAGTGGGAGAACAGTGGCAGTGCTGGCAGCAGGCCTGAGGTGTGCATGCATGCTCCTGTGCTTTAACCCTGGTCATGGGATGGCTGCAGCACTGTGGGCACCCCAATGTGCCCCAGCCCCACGCGCCCTGCTCTTCAGCATCACCTGGTGGGCCCTCCCTCCCCAGGCTCAACCCTTGTCCTCCTAGAGAGCCTTTGGTACTGGGACTGGAGCCGGCCCTGAGGGAAGCTTGCTGTTGCCCTTGCTGTTTCTGGTTTGCTTGCACTGCTCCCTTCTGGGCAAGTGCCCTGCACCCCAGAGAAGGTCTCTATTTCGTGGAGAAGAGCCTGCTATCACATCCCTCCATCGCGGCCCGTGTGTCCCTCTGGAGTTGTTCTGTGGTGGCCACGTGTAACACCAGACTGGCCGCTGGCCGTGCTGGCCCCTCAGCTTGCTTCCTTTCCTCCTCGCGCTTTTCCTCCCCCTTCTCACTGCCCCAGGAGCTGTGGGAGTGGTGAGCTGGGAGAGCTGAGCCCTTACCTCTGCCTTGGTCCTCTCCAGCCCCGGCGCTGCTCCTTTGCCCTGGAGGACAGGCAGAGAGGCTGCTGCCGCTGGTTGGAGAGCGGTGCCCCCCCCCACACCCCCAGTGCTCGGGCTGCGATTGCTGCTTCTGAGGAGAGTGCATCTCCCTCAGTTTGGGGGAGCGGTTGCTGCCACCAGCCCTGTGGGTGCTGTGCTCTCCGTGGAGGAGGCCCTGGGCTCCACAGCCCCCTGCCAGGAACAGAGGGGGAGCAGCTGGGATTTGGAAGTGAAAAATGACCCCCGGCTGCTCTGCAGCTGCTGCAGGGTGTATTAAAGCCCAGCAAGGGGCTGTGCCCACAGCATCCCTCCTCTGGAGCAGCGCTGGGTGCTGCGTGGGCCCTGTGCCCAGTTCCTTGCTGCAGTCCCGCTTTGTGCAGAGGCAAAGGCTGCAACTCGGATGGGGCTGTGCACTTTTTCCAGGCTGGGCAGTGCAGGGGATGGCTGTGGAGTGGGACTGGGATGCTCCTTGGTGTTTGCACCCTGCCTGCAGCCTTCCCGCTTTGTGCAGACCCTCTCTCTCCCCGCCTGTCTCCAGGCTCTGCTGGGCCCAGCAGTACCACCTCACCTCAGTGCCTTAGGAGGGAATGTAGCCTGGCAAAGGCTGAGCTCTGCAGACCATTCTGTGGAAATAGTTTCCAAGGAGAGCCCCTGACCGACACCTATCCTGAGTGGATGGTCAGCTCTGCTAGTTTAGAATTGGGAATGGTGTAGTGGGGGGGATGAGTGGGAATTACACGTATTACGGTGAAGCGATGTGCGTGTGCTGAGCACACTCTGCCAGGGGGGCTGCAGGTCTGGCTCTACGGTGCTGGCACTGCCCCAGAGCCCAGGCTCTGCTGGGTGGGCCAGGGAGGCTGCCAGGAGCTGTGGGTGGCATTGGGGTGATGGGATGATGCAGCACAGCAGCCCAGTGCTGTTCCCTGCTGCTGCTTCCCTGCCCTCACACCGTGGCTGAGGAGCGCTGGTGCCGACATCGTTGCCTGGTCCTTTTCTGTTTCTTTTAGGATCTCCTGTGGTTGAGGGTTAATGGCAGCGTGTTCCTTGCAGCTGCACACTGCAGGGTGGGGGTGAGGTGTTCCCCTGGATGCAGCGCTGAACCACGCTGTAAGATGGGCATTTGGCACAAAGCACAGCTGGAGTGTTGTTTCTTTTTTTTTTCTCCTTTGTTTCTTGTTTTCCCCCTATTTGACCACAGCTATGAGGGAACACCCGCCTCAGCCTGTCACTGTGAACTAGTTTTTCCCTGAGGATGGTGTGTGGTGAAAACCTCTAATAAAAGCAGTGTGAGGAGCTGCTGTGTTGTGTGGCTCCATCGCTGCGTGGTGCTGAAAAGGCAGTGCTGGGCCAGTGCAGCAGCAGGGCGATGCTGTGAGCTCCTGCTGCCATACTGCAGTCCTCACACTCTGCCCCACACCCAGAATCCCCCTGCGGTGAGCCCACCCCCAGCTCAGCTGCTTTCCTGCAGTCAGGGCAAGGAAGGACACTAAGAAGGCAGCACTGCCCCAATCCTGTCCTGCAGCTGCTTCTGCAATGGCTGCAGCACACAGAGCAGTGCTGTACTTCTGGCTTCAGTTTTGCTTCTGTAGAAAAAAATAGTACTAAAAAAAAACAAACTTACATCACCAAGATGCTTTAGCAGAATATTTATTCAACGCCATGGTGAAGAGCAAAACTTGGTACAAACATAAACCCTCAGTGCCTTGCTCACTACTACACCGTGCCAAGGGAGAAAAACAGGATTTGCTATCTCGGGGCAGGAGGGAAGGTGTAGAAAGGCGGAGACTGTTCCTTTGCTGTATAAGGGGACTGAGAACTGGATTTAGATCTTGAGTGCACAGCCATACACACACACACATAAAGGACTCCGTTGTTTCTAGAAGCCCTGTGATGACAGAAGACCTGAGTACAGGGGTTTTGGATAAAGCCGTGGGCACCTGCTGGGGCAGAGCAAATGAAGGGTGCAAAACCCTCTCACTGAGGGCTGGAGGAGCTGTTAAAGCCATCAGTGCATATTATGACAGCAGCCACTGCCTCCATGAAGACAGTTTGCAGCCTGAGGCTGTGAATGGCACAGACATCTGCCCTGCTGCTCCCGAGCTTGGGGGGAGCCCAACAGCAGGTGCAGCTCCTGGGGTCACTGCTGGCCTGGGAGCTTCAGCCCCTGCTGTCGGGGCCAAGTGAAGATTATGAGTTTAATTTTAGACTCTTAACAGTTGGCTAATGGCTGGAGAGAAAAAAGCTTCAGGGACAAATAAAGAATAAACAACAGTGAGTTCATAAAGTGAGCCAGCTTCCCCCATCAGAGAAGCCCTCAGAGGGAGCTGATCACCAACCCCAAGGTGAGTCAGCCCAGGTGGAAGGAGGCTTTCTCACCCTCATTCCTTCAGGCTGAACCTCCACCTGTTCACCTGCTCACAGAGAACATACCAAGAAAATCTAAAGTGCCACAACTTGAGTAGCATAGGAGGGAGGTGACCATGGAACCCATCATCACAGCTTATCCATTCGAAGGGACAGCAGATCCCCTGAAATAAATATGTTACCAATGCCATACTTTATTTAGGTGCTATAGAACAGAGGAAGACCAGGGCAAAGCCAGATCTGTGTTATCACCAGCCCTTCCCACTGGTAAACTGATGGTATCAGGATTTAGTTGTAAGAGAAACCAATGGCAGGGCAGCCCTGCCCCTCCAGATCCATCCTAGCACTGCCTCCCCCACCACCTTTTCAGCCCTCTGATCCTTCCTGCCCTCCATCTGTGGCCCAAACACTGTGTGGGGTAGCACCGGGCACACCCTGCATCCAGACAAGTTGCCCATGGAGGTTTGGGACAAACAAACAATAATAAAACTACAATATTAAAAGAGTCCTGCAGTAAGGCAGCACAGCACTGTACCACTGCTTTTGCAAGTGCTCTGTAGCCAGTAGCTCTCAGCGAAATCAGACACATCCCAGGCCCAAACAGTATAAACCCTGGAGACATGCCTCAGTCTGTTCTCAGAGACCAAAGCTCACCCAGAGAGCTGTGACCAAGTAGCAGCGTTTGTGATAAGCTGTGGGGAGGCTACCCTGCAGTGACCAGCTTGGGTTGCTGCCCACCAGACCCAGGAACAGGTCCTCAGCCCTTACGTTCTGTCTTTGAAGCAGACGCTCCAAGAAGGAAGCCATTACCACTGCTGGGGTCCCTCCTAACTCAGCTGACGGGATTGGTGTGCCCAGACCTCGTCTCTGTTGTGCAGGGCTCAAAGCTCTGCAAGCTCCAGAGGTGGCTGCAGTGAGGAAGCTGCAGGAGCAGGTGTACCTGGATTCAGCTTTTCTGGTTCATGAGCCAGGAAAAGAGCAGTTTCCTGGGCCTGGGCTTTCTGGCCTGCTGGATTCGCACGGTGCGAGGGGATCGCCACACCTTGATGGTTGTGTCATCGCTGGCTGTCAGGAGCAGCTCCTGCTCCACTGGGCTGAAGGCCACCGAGTTGACCACGTTGTCGTGCTGCAGCTTGGCCAGGCAGATGTTATAGTGCCGGTCCCAGATGTAGCCATGGCGATCTTCTGCCCCACTGCAGCAGACAACACAGTGGTGAGGACAGGCAGGCTCTGCCTTCCACACTGAGTGCCCTGGCCCAGCCAGAGGCCCCAGCCTTCATCTGCACTGCTGTCACCCACAGGCACTCACCCTATGGGGGCAAATCCCCTTTGTGACCCAGGCCCTGCCACAGAGACAGGTGGGTTTTCAGAAGTGGAACCTGAAATGAGGTCTCACAGCAGCAGCAATTAAAGCCCTTCAGAGCAGCACAATCACACAGGCTGTGCGCCTGGACCTGCAGCCAGACTCACACTGTGGCACTTGCAGCAAGCCAGCTCTGTTCTGGGCTGCAGTGAGGCTGCTCCAGCCATCCCAACTTGCCCTCTAACACCTGCTGCCTGCAGCCCTCAGGAAGGGCAACTGCCACCCACTGACAAACATGCCACAGCCCCGCATTTCCTCTTTCCTTGCTGATTTCACAACAGGACCAAAGCCGACATCCTCCAGCAGCACCCTCTGACTGTCACTGCTCCTCACACACCTCTTCCTGCTCTGCTCACAGCAACCTCCAGCTCTCGGACCAGCCCTGCCTGCAGCACACCAGCCCACAGTGCAACACCCAAGGCCAACACCAACACCAAGGTACAGGATGTACCTGGGGCAGGATCCTGCCCACCCCCCAGTGCCACACACCTTGCCACAAAGTCCCTGCTGACATCCAGGAAGATGAAGAAGCACTCCTCATTGGGTGTGTAGGCCCGATGCGCACGGAGGGCTCGTTTCACTTCTTTCATTGTCTTCAAGTCAAACACGTGCAGATCGATCTCCTCAGCAATGGGGGGTGGCTGCATGGGGTCAGAGATGACGCAGTCCCGAGGCCAGGCACGGCTGTTCACGTACAGGTATCTTGGGGAGAGGAGCAGAGGGGTTACCCCGCACTTGTGGAGACACAGCATAAAACCCTCTCCCCTTGCACAGACAGGCAGGGCAGGGACCACACAGTTACCCTGCTCCTTAGCAGGCCTGCAGCTCTGAAACACAGGCAGAAACAGCACAGTGCTGAATTGCTCCCTGCCTCCCTTGGAAAGGAAGGGGTTAGAGTTAGCGAGCCCTACAGACTTGGCTGAGCCTCTTTTGTTTCATTAAAATCAATACCAAAGACAGCAGCCTATCCCACTGCCTCAGGAATGAAATGCAGTGCTGTGGGA